CTATTGCCGGCCACCTTTGTCTCTGTGAATCTTACGCGCACGCTCTTGTCGTCCTTGCGACCCCAGTCAGCATGGCCAACCCCAACCGGACGGACTACGAAGGCCCCGAGCTCTCGGGTCCTGGCATTCTCTGGATCAATTCAAAAATCACCGACCCGGCCACGCTGCCCGTCGACAAGTTCACTCGCTGGTACGAGGATGTTCATATCCCGGATATCATTGCTGCTCGCCCGGGCGGCATTGTCGCGTCCTGGCGGTACCGGTGCACCGATGCCGGGCGTGCAGCTCCGTTCCTGGCCGTATACAAGTGCCCCGACATGGGCTTCATCCAGAGCACCGAGTTCAAGTCCATCCCCATGACGCACCCAACGCTACCGGGCAATGGGCCTATCCATCGCTATGCCGACTTTGACGCCCGCTTCTACAAGCACGTGGAGACGTGGAGCAGCCCCGATGCCACCGACGGACGCACCGCAACGCTGATATCTGAGGCCATTGAGCCGGCGACCAATCTGAGCGCGGATGCGTTCAATGCGTGGTTCCGCACGGAGCACATCAAGGAAGTGGCGACACGGCCCGGCTGGCGCCGCACGAGCCGGTTCGAGCTGGTGTTCAAGAAGGAGAACAAAGACGACCCGGATAGCGCAGCCACGATCACGCCGTACTATCTGGCAATGCACGAATTTGCCAGCACCGAGGTCGTGCCGGCTTCTGGTATTGTAGGAAGGTTTCCGGCACAACTGACAACTGCGTCCACGGCTGTTCTAGATGGTGCGCGAAGGGTTGACGTCGCCGCGTTCTCGATACTGCGCGGCTTTGGCGATGTCGGTGCACGCTGGGTCGACACCGATGAGAAGAGGGTGTAGGCGGTGGCGATGGCGATGGCAGTAGGTGGCCAACGAGTTGTCGCGGTTTCTTGAGGGTATAGAGTACGACCGCTGAATCTATGAAATGCAGCAGAATAAACAAACCGTCCACAGTCCGTGTCTCGACCGTGCCTTCCGCCCGTATCATCCGTGTCCGTGGTTCTTTCCGGGTACCTTCTGTTCTGTAGCTCCTTCTCCATCGTGTCCATCACGCCTTCCCCACCAATTCCGTTTCACCGTCACTCCTTCCTTATCAACTGACTACCTTCCTCTCCGTGACCAATTACCTGGTCCGGAAATCGTCTTCCTGGAAAGAACGACTCCCTTTTCCTCCGAGTGACGCTTAGTTGCACTCCCCGCACGCTAACGAGGCAAGAGCTGGGGTCGTCTCCAAATACCACCAAAACCGGTCCGTTTTGGCGCAACCTTCGCCTTAAACTCTCCTGAACCGACATCGTTTACCCAGCCTCACCAACTTATTCACCACAAGACAACAGTACCTTAGACGACCTACATACTTTGTACGGTGAACCGGTCTGCAAGGCCGACCTGTGGTCTCAACGGCCTATTGCAGAGCACCGTTTTGTCAAAGGTGGGCCTCACGTATTGACGAACGACAGAACGTATGCGAAAAGTCTAAACGACCAGCCTTTGGGCCCCAAAGCATTTTGTTACTTTTTTTCTTATCCACCTCTTCTTTCTCTCTCATTTCGTTAGTTTTGTTACATCACCATCCATCTCTTGAGTGCTTGACATTCACGAGGTGCGCCACGGCCATGGCGGAATCCTGAACCGAGCCCTAAGAGGAAAAGAGGGAAACTGGAGCGAAGCGGAAGAGCACGACGACGACAACGACTGCCCCTGCAAAACCCCTGTCAGATTGACAAAGGAGCTACTTGCGAAAATTACATGCTTTCGATATCGCGATATTTTGAGTAATTTTAAGGGGTTTCTGGCTTTGCGCCATCGTCACACGCGTCAATAGCCATGATTCTGGGCCGGTCGTCCAAGCCACGGTCCCGCGCGTCTATTGCGTGCGCCGGTTGCCGAGCACGACGCACAAAGGTGTGTAGCATTTCCCCAAATCCCGAATGTCTGATTGACCGCAAGGCCCGCCCAGTTGACAACAACAGTGCATTATTGACGAGGGCCAGAGCTCGTGCGACCGCTGCATTCGCCTCTCAAAACCATGTGTGCTGCGCGACGACGACGAGCGCAAACGGCCCGTCACCAAGGCGCAGGTGCATGCGCTGGTGCAACGCATCGGCGCGCTCGAACAACGCCTGAGTGATGCGGGCCTGGAGATCCCACCGGCCCTGACGGACGATGGCTCGATGGCCGCGGCCATGCAGATCCCGCGCGACCAGCAATCCTACGGCGACGACCCTCTTGAGCGGCGCACAGCAATGCGTGACGATGTGGCGGCTGCCGTCCAAGGCAGCATCGTCACGGCGGCAGCACTGGTTGCGGCAGCAACCGGCCACGGCCGGGGCGCGGCACAGGCGTCGGGATTTCGTCGCGACGGCAGCCGGGACATGGGCAGCTCGTCCTCTCCACAAGATCCGCAATCACGTCATATCCGGCCCGGACCCACGTTGACATCGTCGACCAACGGCGGCAGCGGGTCCATGTGGCCGCCACCACCAATACAGGCAACGACGACACAAGACCGGAGGAAGATTGGACATGCCACTGACAGCACAACAAACGACAGCTTCAGTGGCTCTCGCACAAACAACAATGACGCGACCGAATCGCCTGCGAGCACGGTCGGGTCGTCGGACAGGGCACCGTCGGCCTTGTACAGCGAGTCCGATCAGCGACGGCGGTTGCGTGCCGGGTCCATGAGCAACATGGGGCCCCGCGGCCACTCGCGCTACATTGGCATCACCACCAACTACCACATCTACTCCAACATGTACCACGCCGAGAAGGAAGAAACACGGCGCGAGCGCGAGAAGAACGCGGCGCGCACACGCGAGTTTCTTGCCAACATTCCCATTGACGCGCACCGACACCTGATCAACCAGTTTTGGTCGTGCTACAACACAATCATCCACATTGTCCACCGTCGGGCGTTTGAGCTAGATAGCGGAATGATGGTTGGCGGCGGCAGCGGCAGCGGCGTCGACGACCAGAACACCGACAGCCACAGAGAGCCAGTGATGGTTCCAGGCGCGGGGAACAGCAACACTAGCAGTGGCAGTTATTATTCGCCGTTTTTGCATGTGTGCATGCTGTCCGTAGGCTACCGCTATGCCGACCGAACGCGACCGGACGTGCAGGCTTTTGCGACCCCAGACGGCGAGTCCTTGCTTCACGAGGAGGCCAAGCGACTCGTCGACTCGGAACTGCAGATGCCGGGCGGCATACCTTCGCTGCAGGCGCTGTTGCTTCTCGGTGATCTCGAGTGCGGCGTCGGCCGCTACAACACAGGGTGGCTGTACGCGGGGATGGCGTGTCGACTGATTTTCGACCTGGGCCTGAACCGGCAAATCGGCCAGGCCGGCCAGTCGCGGCTGGACATGGAAGTGAAGCGGACGGTGCTGTGGGGATGCGTCGTCCTGGATCGGTTCTGGGGGTTGTTCCTGGGCCGGCCGACCAGCATCAAAATTGCCGACATCACCATCTCCAACGGCCCCACTCAGCCGCGGCCCATGCATGGGTGTCTTCCCATGGGACCCAAGTTCCGTTTCGAGACGGAAATCTACGATGCACTCATTCACCTGACGGACACGGCCTCCAAGCTGACCGACGCCGCCCACCGGCACTACACGACCTCAGACCCGAGCGCATACTATTTTGTGACGGGCCTGCACCGTGAGCTGCGCAACTGGTACAAGCAACTCCCCAGCCGATTGCAGTGGACGTCTGCGAACCTGGCGCGCGACCCGCCATCGGCCTATTTCAACCTGCACCAGCAGTACCACACCATGTACATTCTAATGTACCGACCGTTCCTGTCGGCCGGTCAAGCCACACCAGCCGGCACGCACAACACGGGTGGTGGACAGACCAACGGCAACACCGAGCCCGCTTCCAGCTGTGGTGGTGGTGGTGGTGGTAGTTGTAGCCCATATGATGATGTAATTGACGACACTGGGCTGACTGACGATGGCATGGAGCCAGAGATCGGCACGGACATTGTCACGGAAATGGCACGCAGGATGTGCTTTACGCACGCCATCGAGGTCGCACGCATCTACGAGGCGTTCTGCGCGCGGTTCGAGTGCCGCAGCATGTTTGTGACGGGCATGCAGCACGCAGCAACGGCCGCGTTTGCGATTGTCGAGGGTCTGTCAACACAGAGCGCCGACAAGCAGGCGGAAGCGCTGGTACACCTGCAACGACTGGCCGAATCGCTGTATGCGCATGCGAGCGTCTACTACCCGGCGCGGGTCATGTCAAATATTCTGTTCCGGGTGCTCGGCGAGTATCGTGACAGCCACGCCCAGCGGCAGGCCAACCAGCAACAACATTTTCGGCAGCACCAGCACCAGCAGCAGCAACAAGACAGCGCACACCAACCACACCACATTCACCACCAGAGCGTTGACATGCCCGACACCAATACGGCTCCGCCGACCACAATGCCGCCGGGCTGGACAACGACACCGACCAGTTCTGGTATGATGCAACCACCACCCGTCCCTGGACAAGCGCCGACAACACCTGTCTCGCACCCCGACTGGACGGGCGGTGGCTTGCAAGGCACATTGCTGGACGGGTCGGTAATCTCTGGTGCCGGAGCCAACAGTTTTGTCGACTTTGAATTTGACTCTGGCATTTGGGAGTCGATTATGAACACTCTGTCGCAGCCGTTGGATCTGGGAGCGTAGGCACCGGCCGGGAACGACTGGCGACACTCCATCGCCATATTGAAGTGGAGCATTATGATATAATGGCTAGTGGACGTTACTTGGTTCACAGTCAACGGCATGATGTAAAGAAAGGGATGATAAAGCTCGAGTTCCACTGAGAGCATAGAAACAAAGACCAAAGACCAAAAGCTACAAAATCAAAATTCCACATTCTTTGCCAAACGTTCCAAAGAAAAAAGACAAATTCGAAAAGTCCAAATTGAACCGTAAAGCAACGCCTTTCCCATCGACTTCCGTGGTCCCTTTCTTATATTTAGCTCGAACGGCGGATCTTGTTCTTGATCTTCTCGCCCAGGCTGACCTTCTTCTTCTGGCCCGCGCTGTCGCCGCTGTTGGCACTGACGTTGCTGTTGCCGCTGCCGCGGTTGTTGTTGCCCGCGCCTTCCGCCTCGGCCGTATCCGCGGCGCCCGGCTGCTGGTGGCCCGCGTTGACGACAATGCCCTTCTCCTCCAAGATGCGGTCGGCCTCGCGACCGGCACCCTCGCGCGCGGCGTCAAAATCGCCACCGTCGGCCTTCAGACCGGTGCTGCGGACGTACTTTTCGCCGGTGCCCTCGCCGTGGGAGGTGGACTGGGGCTTGTCGTCGTCCTCGTCGTCAGCGCCGGCGGCGGCACCGGCACCGGCACCGGCACCGCCAGTGCCGGGTTGGGCACGTCCCGCGTCGCCGTGGTTGTCACACGCGACCTCCTGGAGGGGGCGGGGACCGGGGCCGTCCACATTGGGCTCGGAGGCGCCGCCGCCGCCGCTGCTGGGGACCTTGGAGTCCTTCATGCCGGCATCGCCAGCGGACGTCGAGGTGGCGGCCGGGTTGTTCGATCTGGCGTTGGTGGCAGTGTTGGCCGTGTTGTTGTTGACGGAGGCGGACGAGGCAGCAGTGTTGTCAGCCGACCGGGTCCCTGCGACGCCAGCAGCGCCCGCTGCGCCGGCCACACCTGCTGCACCGGCAGCACCTGTAGTTCCTGTAGATCCCGTCGCACCTGTGGTGCCAGTCGTTTTCGGGGCGCCGGCGGTACCGGCGGTACCAGAACCGACCGCCGACGAGCGCGTCTCAGAGTACTGCGCGTTGGCATAGGCCTGCTCGTCCCTGTTGCCGGCGTCGTACGGCTCGCCCTTGGAAGTGTCGCCCAGAACGCCCGAAACGGGCTCCTCGTTGTAGTCCGGGTGGCTGCCGGGCACGGCAGCGGAACCAGTGTTGGCACGACTGTTGTTCACATTGCTGGTGGTGTTGTTGAAGCTGGTGTCGGAGGTGTTGTACGGTGCCGATGAGGAGGCGGCGTTTGCGGCGATGTTGCTGTGGCCGTTGACATTGTTGCCGCTGTCGTAGGCCGTCATGCTGCCGTTGCTGCCCACGTTGTTCGCATTGTTGATGTTCTCAGTGGTGGCGGTGCCGTCGTTGTTGTCGCTGTTGGGCCAGACGGTCTTTGCCGCGGCAGCAGCGATGTTGTTGATGGTCTCCATGGTGGTTTGATGACTGGGAAGGTCTTGAAAAGTGTTTGCGTATGTTGAGGGGGGTATATGCGATATGAATGTGGGCTGGCTAAAAGATCAAAAGTGTCGTGGACTGGAAATAAATTGAAGCTTCGAAGAGTTGGGAAGGGAGAGCTTGCTTATAATGGCCAATTTATCTTAGTTTGGAAGCAGCCTCGACTAGAGAAGCCCCCCTTCTGACGTCGATGGCTCCTCCCTCATTTGGTGGGTGTGACACGAGGGTGACAAGGGCTGGTCAGGAAACAGGAAAGTCGAGGCAGGCGGCGTGCTCTTTCTTACGGCGTGACGGCGTGCACAAAGAAAAGGCAGGCGCGCTGGCGGCTCCTTGGTCTTTCCATCGATCGAACAAACATAAGAAATTGTGGGGTACTTCGGCCGGGGCCTGCCTCTTGCCCCTTTTTGGCTGCATCTCGTCGCTTCTTGCCCACTCTTTGTCCTTTTTCTGAGTTGTCTCGGTCTTCGCGCCTTCCCCTGTATTCCGTCTTATTCTTTGGCTGGCCGTTTGGGTACTTGGTCACCTTGTTGCTGGAATGTTAAGCTTTTTACGTCTGTTCCTGTCTTTACTAAGGGCAGCTCTCTGGTCTGGTCTTGCCATTGGATAGAATGGCTTCTCTGCCAAATGCGCCAAATTCTTCCCTTGACAGCTCCATCGACAGCTGCTGCATAGTTTGTGGCATCCCGTCAATCCTCTTCATGAACTGTATCCGTATTTGTTGACGTCGTGTATCGCCAACATGGACATCGCCGAGCTCGAGCGGAGAATGACGTTGCTCTGGTGGATGGTCAATTACGTCACTATGCGAATAGGGTGTTCAATCGCGATGAGAAAAGTGGGTCCTCCCACACGTCACTTACACTACAACGAGGCAGCCTCGCAGCTTCCAGCTGAAACCTTTTAGCGTCCAGAAGGCCCCCCACTGTTTGACCCCACTGCCGCCAGGCGCAGGCGCCGAACGGACGAGAAACGGAATGGGAAGGTGCCTCTCAGCACGCTTCTACGACATATTACGCATATGCCCGACGGGAAGGTATGTTGACGTACAAGACAGGCAGGAACGAAGCACTAATATGGCATACTGCACGTGTGACACTACAAGTAAACGTGCATGACTTCATAATGTGGTTTGACCATTTCGTACGGGTTTGAGGAACCGTCTGATCTTTTTGTGGACCGGGACTGTCAAGTATGTTGAAGAACTCGATCGTGATTTTGTTGAACAAGATTATATTAAACAGGTATTAAAGAAAGGAGAGATTGTAAATACATATAGAGAAGTAAAAATAAACCTGAAAATAAAAAGTACGACAAAGAAAGGAGAGGAAGTACCATGAGTACAAATCAATGCGCATGATACGGTGAGAGGACAGACAGCAGGAAAGTAGGGTGGTAAGAAAATCGTGTGGTATCAATGAGTTTCCGTGGCGTTCCGATCCTTTCCCAAAAGAGTGACATATATAACGAGTGACAGAAAGAGAGCGAGCAAGCGAGAGTAGCGAAAGAAAAACATGTGCCACGCACAGACTGCCTTACAGGAGCAGGGCGGCGGCAACGACACCGGCGGCGACGGCCAGGCTGCTGCTGAAGATGCTGGCAGAGACGGCGCCGGCCGTGACAACAACGCCCGTGGCGCTTCCCGTCTTGGAAGCCGTCGGCGAGAAGGTGCCGCTGAGCGTGCTGTTGCCGACCGAGCTGCCCTTGCCGCTGCCGCTGCCCTTGCCACTGCCACTGCTGCCGCTGCCGCTGCTGCCGCTGCTGCTGCCACCGTTGCCCTTGGCCGCGGTCGGCACCGCCGTCGGCGGCGTAAAGGTCTCGACAATGGGCGACGTGCACGGCACCAGCACAACGATATTGGTGCTCGTCGGCATCATGGCCAGGTGGGCGCCGTTGGTGGTGGTCACGACGGCCGTGTCGGTGGCGCCGCCATTGTAGGTGTAGGTCTTGGTGACGACGTACGAGGCCTGGTACGACGCCGGGCAGTTGACAACAGACGCAGCACAGCTGGTGATGGTGTACGTGGTGGTCGAGAAGACGGTCGACGTGACCTCGCCGACGCCAGCACTGCTGGCTGCTGTGGTCGAGCCCGATGCCAGGGCAGACGAGGACAGGGCCGCCGACGACGTCGGGGGCGGGCTGGCGGTGCTCGACGGCGCGGACGAAATGACAGCAGACGACGTAGGAGAAGAGAGGGCAGGCGACGAGACCGGGATGGACGAGTTCGCAGACAAGGGAGGACGAGACGGGATGGACACGGAATGCTGGGCGCTGGACTTGTTGTTGTCGTAGCCGGAACCCTTGCCGTGGCCGGAGCCGTAGCCAGAGCCGTGGCCGGATCCATAGCCAGAGCCAGAGCCAGAGCCATAGCCGCCCGAGTGCGAGCCAGACCCGGAACCGCCCGAGTACGAGCCGGAACCCTTGCCCGAGCCAGAAGAGCCATGGCCACCCGAATACGAGCCCGAGTCCGAGCCGGAACCCTTACCATAACCGTACGAGCCCGTCTCTGTGGGCTTGTAACCGGTCGTCACAAAGGTGGCCGCTGAGCTGCCGCCGTACTTGGCACCGCCGGCGCCCCCAGCAGCGCTCGTCACAGCGCCCGCAATGGAGCCCCAGCACTGGGTCGCCGTGGGCGCCGACAGCAGCGTCGTCGAGATGGTCGGCACGGCGCCAAAGGTGGTGTAGTCGACAACCACGTCGGCCCGCGCGTACGCGCCGACGTTGCAGTCCCAGTACTCGCGCGCCTGCAGGCCGCAGGCCGGCGTGGTCTCGAGAATGGTGACAAACTCGATGATGTTGGCGTAGACGCCGAGCTCGAGGCCGGCGCCGATGCCGACGAGCGGGGCGTTGCCCTCGACGCCGACCTGCGTGCGCACGCGCAGGTCGGCCTTGAAGGTGGCCGTGCCGCTCTTGACGGACACGGGCAGGGACTGCGCGCTGAGGCCGTCAAAGAAGGACTTGGTGACGGTGCCCTCCAGCAGGCTGGCCTCAACGTAGGCGCCGTCGGCGACCGTGACGGAGAAGCCGCCGGCGTCAATGTCAATCTTCTCGGAAATGCTAAAGACGAGGTCCACGGCAAAGACGACGCCGGCGCTGTAGCCCGGTGCCGAGATGCCGAGCGGCGTGTTGGACGTGAAGAGGTTGATGGTGTACACGGCCGCCTCGCTGACGACGACGGACAGGTCCACGTAGGCCTGGACGCCCGAGAAGTCGAGGCGCAGCGTCGGGTCGATGACCGTGGGGTCGGTCAGCGAGGCAGAAATGCTGCCCTTGGTGTAGCAGGTGTTGCACGCAATGGCCATGGTGACGGTGCCGCCAAGATCGTTGGGGAAGGTGCCGTCAAACAGCATCTGGTGGTTCCAGTTGTGGGTGAGGTCGTACGTGGCCGCTGCGGGCGCCTCGAGGCTGCGGGCCACCTCCTTGCTCTCGTCCAGGACCCTGCGGGCCACCAGGTCGTTGCCGCGGGCGAGATGGGCCGGGGGCAGAGCCGGGGCAATGCTTACGGGGCCAGCCTGGCAGACAGAGGCGACCACGGCGGCCCAGGTGAGGGGCTTGTTGAAACGCATAATGGGCGGCGGTGGTGAAGTGTGTATGTGAGAAAAGAAGGTATATCCAATAGAACGTATACGGAAGACCCTGGACGGAAACGACAGGTAAAAATGGTACTAGCCCAGCAAGAAGTGAAAATTGACGATAATAAGAACAAGTGAAGGGGAGGGAAGAAAGAGGAAAGAGGAACGGACCAGCTCGTCTAGAGGAGGACCTGTTCTTGAATGTGGTTAACGACAGACAGGAAGACGTGAAAAATGGGAAAGACGATGCAAACGAAAGTGGGTGAGGAGCAAAGACAGAAAAAAGGGAGAGATCAAAGGAAACACGACCGGGGAGAGGGAAAGGATGCTGACTTTATGGACAACGAAGAGAGAGGACGCAGGACGACGACACAGGAGAGAGAGGGAGAGAGCAAAGAGCATGGCATGACTGCATCAGTCACATTTCCTAAGCAGAGAACACAAGACCACTTACACGACGACGGCCAGAGGAGAGTCCATGTCGAAGTAGGTTCCGAATAAGGCCAGACCGGGGCAGGGGATCCACGGACGAGGGGGGAGGCTAGACCGCAGACCAAAGTCGACTTGACGCCAGGAGATGTTGCCTTGCCTCGGACGAGAAAAAGAGGGGAATGGGTGAAGCTTGACGAGGTTGCGAGATAAAAGAATAGACGCTAGGAGTTCTGGGACGTCGTATGGAACAAGAAACGCAAAGGGGATGGCAGCAACAGAAACAGACAAAACTGCAAGACTGCAGGACTGCAAACAGCAAAGCCTCACTCGTTTCATGAGCGAACAATACGGCAATGCTCCGTGCCCCGTGCTAGGCCATTGCCAGCCCAGCGTCGTATCCGAGATGCGCCCCGATCAGGGCCCATATTTGGGAGGAAGAGAGTACCGAGAACCAGATTGGGCCAGCGCTTTGATCGTTTAATTCTGGATTTAGTGTTATCTGCCTCCTTTTTGTCCATGAACGCGATGGACACTATTTCGTATTTTGTCGTATTTTTCTTCTTCCTTTCCATTTCAACGAAAAGCAGGAAAAGACCGGAACACTACCTGCTGGAATCAGACGATACGAGGCCGGTGGAGAGAGCAGACGGCCGAAGGATCTGCGGTGATAAACCAGGTTGGCCGGATGCAGACAGTACTGATTCTCGGTATTCGCCAACGCTGCACATGCTTTACGTTTCCTGGTTTCCCTGATTTTCTCTGATTTTCTCTGATTTTCTTTGATTTTCGCGACGCCCGGAAACTCAATTTCAGCTCGTCTCTCGACTTCCACTGGCCAGTTACTATAATGTCTGTGCGGTTGGCAGTGAGGCTCATCTTAGGGGACAGCCAAGCAATGTACCAAAAGCAGCATCGATTCGTCTACTTGGATACAAGGACCACGGATGGAATCAAGAAATAAATTGCCAACTAGAAGTAATAGGCCTATGAGGCACAGCAACGAATAGGACAAGTCCGCTTCCCATGCTGCAGAACCCGCATTCGACAACAACAGCGTCCTCGTACGACATAGGTTGAATGGGAGGGCTAGGGGAGAGCGGGTCTAATGCAGGTACAACGGTTACAAGGGGTAGAACCAAAAAAAAAAAAAAAGGAAAAGCCCAACAAAAGCGTAGATCATTGGGCAGCACATTGAGTTGGTCTTTCACGTGCACGGAAGTACTCGACCATTTTCACTAAATCGAACACCGAAAAGACTCACTACGAATAGACTAACAATCTCAAAATACACAAATTAGAACGACCGTAAAATTGACGAATTCGAAACTAAAAGAGTGCGACGCAAAAAAAAAAAAAACAAAAAAAAAAAACAGTGGCCTCGGAGCGGGGGGCAAAAACAGTAACCACTTTCGAAGAAAATATGATCGGGCGAGATTGGACGAGATGATGGAATGCTGTCTGTCTAATCATCTCGTTGAATGAAGACAAAGTGGTCGACTTGAGTTGACAAGTTCAAGTAAATGACTTACACTTGTGCTCTGGCCAATGACAGCGCCGCATTGCGGTGGAGACACCGGTCCTCCAAGACCCTGCGCAAAACGTGCACCCAAACGTCTCTAACACGCCAAAGGGGCAGGTACAGGGGGTTGAGGGGCGAGGCGAGTGGGTGGACCTCCCAAGCCTCCTTCCTCGGGGCGTTGCCCACTGAGAGTGCAGAACCGCTGGAAATAGAGTTGACGGGAAGCCGGTGTGCTCCTTCCCCTTGCAGGACATCCCGTCCCCACTCCCCAGTCTTGTGAGAGGCTGAACGAGAGAAGGAGCGACCGGGCGATTGGGCTTCAGATTGGTCGTGGGAGATATTGTCGAGGAAAGAGCTGCACGTCGAGTAGCCAGTGACAAGCAAGATTGCGCAGCGTCGCCTTGTCGCGTAATCATTTAGTCTTTTGCGGTAATTGCACTGTATTCAGCAATTTGTCCATATGACTACCACTTATGGTGTTCTCTATGTGTATGCCGTAACGTGTACTGTTGCGCCTTCAATGGTGCCGTATCTGCTCCACCAGCGAGGGAAGGAGCCATCCAGAGCACTGCGCCGTGAGAAGGGGAAAGGTAACAAGAAACGGCAAGTGCCAACGGACACACACCTGCCGTCAAGACCAATCCTAGTCCAGGGCAGTCCACTCGAAACAAACTCTCCGGCATCGTTCTTTCTCATTGCGACCAGTCACAAAATGTAAAACACATCCATCGGCGAACTTCTCCTGTGGCTGTTTTCCCTCTCCCAAACGCCCCCAGGCCAACAACAGCCGAAGCTTTCTCTCCATCCATCCCATCCATCCCATCCATCCCATCCACAACGTTTGTGTTGTGGGTCCGGTATGGGTCTTGCCTTTCCCTCGTTCTTTTCTTCTTCAGCGGGTCCTGGGGACCTGCCGAGTTGTGATGCAAAGCGCCGGAGCTTCCGCCACCAGGAGGACCTCAAGGTACTCGACATCTCAAAGATAGACAACCGGTAGCGCGAGGGATATACTGACCGGACGACCAAATGACCAGCAAGACCAGGACAAGTCGTGTGGGAAAGATATCGGGCACCGGCGTCGACATGGACTAAACAAACGCGGGCTCCAAAGTGGATGCTGGCTCACATGCTAAGCCAATGCCGGCACTAACTGAATCGAACTACCTGCCATCCTCCGAGCACCACGGGAGAACCAACGCTCGCCAAAAAGCACTAACACATAATTAGGACCCTGTGATACCCAACAGACTTGTCTCTTTTTTCCCCTTTCTCATCCTTCTTTTAGCCCTCTTTCGAACATATGTTTATGGAGAGAGGGAGTAGCGAAGAGACGAGAGAAACGCTGGTTTCGTGATCAGCCGCGGTGCTTGACCCCATGGCGTGCTTCTGGTAGGCCCCGATATTTTTCTCGGTCGGCAGTTCATCGCATGAGCACTCGTTATCTCAGTCGGCATAGCCTTGTCGATCTCTCCGGAGGTGTCACGATACCGGCTAGACCACTTGGTAGACAGAAAGATAACGGTGTCCAGCTGGACAGAGAACATCCCTGACCGAGTGCAGTGCCCACGTGCTGTCCAATGCTCATCATCAATGACGATATCTGCGCACGAGGACCTTGGTTCAGGACGCAAAGAGGCGGAAAGACGCGACAATATGCGACGAGTGGCGATACTGGACCACAGGAGGCGATCCATCGGACAAGCCAGGCTCAACTCACGCGCACCTGTCTTTCGGGATGCAGAGTGCATCGTACGACATGGATGGATCTTGTCTCGTTCATCTGTCGACACATCGGAGCTGAAGTAGACAAAACAAAAACTAAAATGAGCCAAAAGGGGGAAACAAATCCGGGTAACGATGTCGGCGTATGATTTGAGGCAAACCATCACGCCGCCCAGTACTCATGGAGCTCGATGAGCTTGAGGACCTGATCAGTTGCACCATCTTTCTTCCTGTCGATTCCTTGTCTGTTTTGTCTGGTGTTTCTCGTATTGAAGACTCCTGGCTGTTTAGAAGAGTTGGGCGGAGTGCAAGTGCGGTCGTAGAGGTAACTCTCTTTCAAAGCTTATGTTTTACACGATCGTCTAAAACAACACTGTCAGTGCCATGCCATCTTAAACCTTGTGTAGAAGTTAAAGGCTGTGAAAAACGAGAGGTGACAATACTTCGACCTTGTTCCCAAATATAGACTTTAAGGTTGTTTCAGGATCACCAAAACGGCAAAGTCCACGAAAGTACGTACAAAAACGGAAGAAAAGTAAAAGTTGATTCCTCGTCCGCGGCAGACAAGAATAGAAACAGAGAGAAAGAGGAGCCCGCCGAGAAAATGATTAAATAAAAAATACGTGCAAACCCACCACATTGGACACGGAGCAGAACTCGACGTCTCAGAATGAGGAGGGGAGACACAACGTTCACGATGGAACAAGGCTGGCACACAGTGCTGCCCAATGCAACCTGCCCCGTGCCCTCTGTCGCGACACACAACCAAAAAAGGAGCCGTGATGGCATTCCTGTAACGCAATGTCGGCCTCCTTTAATATCAACGATTTGCCTCGATCGATTTCCGATGCTTACATTGTTACGGCATCTCTTATGTAGACTTCACTTTTCCTAGTCTTTGAATAGATTCTCCAACGATTACCTCCGTATCCTTGCCGCTGGATCTCATGTTGCTGACGATGCAATTGTATAGCTGTAAGTACTGGCCTGACGCTGCTTTGCACGCTCGTTAAAACCGGCCAAGCCTCCGCTATGATAGTTTCCCGCCAGCCGTACGGAAGCACAATGAAAACGACGTGCAGAAACACGAGGCACTTGCAATGATGGGTGAAATCAATGCAATTGTGTGGCGTGCGCTTTATCGCCATCGAGAAAATAGACAGAATGGGCAAAGAGTATACGGAGTATGCCGTACAATATATTCAATTGCATCAATTGTACCAGCTGTTCATCGAAGAAGCTCCAAGAAAAGAGCCTACAAATACCAAATGAATTACATATACCCGGTACCAGACCCCAAAACGAGTGGGAGAACAAGGCGGCAAGCTATCTAAGCCTCGTGCCTCAAAGCATGAAGACGTTGTTCGTCGATGCGTCGGTCGTCTGGGTGAGCGGATGTCTTGGATACAAAGCGTAAGAAGAAGCAGAAGACAAAACAAAGTCGATACCTAAACGAGCAGTAGGGGTGAAACCAGAAAAGTGCGTCCAAAGGCAGCAGAATGACCGAGCGAGAGACACAAGGGGCCGTCGAACAGACAAGCACAGCCACGATATGCCCGTGTCTCCTGTGACATGTCGTGACATGTCGTGACATTGTCGTGGCATGCTTGTCACAGACTCGGAAAGTAAACGAAAGCAGGGTGGGATGTATAGAGGCGCCGAAAACTCCCTGTGCTGTATGCCCAAAAGTGAATAAAACAACGTGCGCGACTCAGTATCGTGAAGGGGAGAGGAGGATGAAAGAAGCCGTCAAGAGCGAGGCATGGGAGGTGCGTCGTGGTCTGCAGCGGTCTGTGCAATATGCACGCTGGCTGGCCATGACATGGCCCTGCGCTCTGCCGCTTCTTCAGTTCACCTGGCACAGCAGCTCTGCCTCCAGAATGTACTTGCCCTCCTTGTACTTCTCCGACGCCTCGTACGCCTTGTCGTACTTCCATCCGACCGTGTCGCCGCAACCGCGGCACACAATGTCGCGCACAACGTGCCGGCCCGTCGTCATGTTGCGCTCGGCCGCGTTGCCCGCTTCGACGTTGACCACCGAGTTGAAGAGGTATGCCTTGCCATGTTGACCCCGGAAGTTCTGTAAGACGCCCCAGAGGTCAGTTTACGATTTCAGTACGATGGGGCGGTGGGGAGCACGCACTCTGCTAATAATCTCATCGTGGTTGGCCAGGTGCGCCTTGCAGACCTTGCAGCCGTAGATGCGTGTGCTGTTGAGGTATGTATTGTACGTGAGACCCATGGTGTCGGTTGTCGGTTGTCGGCTTGCGTGCGAGGGGAGACTGGGACGGGACTAGCGTGTCGGAAGCGGCTCGACGTCGTGATGTCTAGGCAGAAGCAGACAAGGGAGGCAATGAAGCAAACGCAAGGAGGAGCTTCGTTCCCAGAAAGATTGCCGGCACAAGAGGACGGCTGGGTCGTTACGAGGTAAGTCTGTATTTGCGAGTGCTTCAGTCAGCAACGTTTCGCTTTCGTCGTCGTCGTCGTCGTCGTCGTCGTCGTCGCTGAGTTGTCTTATCGGTCGTTTCTTATCCGTATCTCTCCGGGACGCTCTATCGTCGGTGGGGCGAGATTAAGGCTGGCTTGAGATCAGCGATAAGGAAGTGCAAATGGTCGGGAAGCCAACAGGGCTGGAAATGGGAAATGTCGATGCGTTGGGAAGCCGAAAGAAATGGATGAGGAAAAGATGGATGAAAGAAGGTAAAGGAGGAACGAGGGGGCGATGTCTTAGCAAAGGCGTAAGATACATGAGGCGGGGAAACAGTGGCCGTTTCGAGGCGCACAACAGCGCATGACCAGGTGACGACACATCACACGGCACGGAAACGACGGGCTGGCGGTGTTGGCGGGGTTGGGGCTAGGCTCCCATTAACACGGCGCCCTGCCCAAGTCCGCTAAATTCCCCAATCGGGTGCCTGCCATCCAGTTTCCGTACTGCAGGATTTGGCAAGCTTTCATTCACTAACATAACGCCGCCTCAGAATAGCATTACACATAGCCAAAAGGCGAGGGAGAGCTAGCAGTCATGCAAACATTACAAATGGCACTGAGGATACATCACTGACAGCGGCTGTGGTCAGCGAACATTGCATAATTTTTTTCATAGTTTTTATTTGTTGATGTGTAACCGTTCTAACCGGGCGACCTCAGAGGCTTCTTTTATAATCAGCGGCAACGAGACAAGGGAATGAAAAAATGGTAGAAAAAAAAAGTACATAGAAAAAAGACAGTGAAGTAAACAGCATCACTTGAAAAGACATGAGACCAAATGAAAAACAAAGCGCGAGATCTTCGCCTGCAGTAGCGACTGTGCGCGCGGACGCCGCATCTATGCCGGAAATAAAACCCAATACCCAGATATGTACAAACCGAACCAGAAACCAGAAGAGTTGGCAGCCAGGCTGCCGTTGTTGTGCGGGCGTGCCGTCAAAACGGCCGCATGCGCGACTACCACGAAAAGGCCTCCTCGACAAACTCAATCGAGCCTTGGTACTGCCGCTGGCGGACCGCGCGCCGCACCTCGTCGCTCAGCGCACCGGGGCCGCACACCGAGACGCCGAGCGTGCCCACCTGGTTCTCCATCTCGATGCCCAGCAGCGTGTCGATGTTGGGGCGGCCCGGGAACATCTGCACCGTCGCACTCGGCGAGTGGATCTCCTTGGTCGACCGGGGCCGGCTGACAAAGAGCATGATGCGCAGCACGTCGCGCCGCTTGTCCATGGCCAGGATCTCCGTCATCCACGGCCGGATCCACTCCAGATGCTCGGGGCTCTGAATGATCCACACCAGCACAATCTTGCGGACCGCAACCGTGCCATTGGCATAGCCGATCACCAGATCGCGCACGTGGGGGACGGCCTGCGTCACGCCCACGCCGCCGGCGAACAGCATCACCGTGCCGTACGAGTGCATCTGGTGCAGGCCGCCGTAGGGGCCCTCGACGAGGCAGTTCGTGGCGTACCGGCCATCTGGGCTTGCCGTCGCCTTCTTGTACAGCTTGGCCGTCATGCCCGTGCGCCCGCGGATGATGAACGACATGCTCGTCTTGCGCATCGCAAGCACCTCCTGCCGGTTCATAGCCAGCTTCTCTGTGTCCAGCGACTCGGCCTCCTCGCTCCAAGCGACGGAAAACGGGTGCGACTGCCAGAGACCGACGCTCGGGAAGTACAGGTACGCGTGCTGGCCCGGCTTGAAGTCCCAGGTCCGCGCCATTGTGACTGTGACGCGGCACGCGTTGCCGGGGAGCGCCTCGACGAGCGTCTTGGTGCCGCCTTGCCCAACGTTGTGGTACACGATGCGGAGGATACGGGCGAGTCGGTCGATGGCCCAGATGGCAACAACGCCGTACAGGTAGACGATCTGGGGTAGGTCCTTAAGCTTCAGGTGGTACCAGACGCCCATAACAGCGACGGCAGCAACAAGGATGTGCACAATCTTGAACGTCTCGTAAAATGCGTGGCGGAGCGGGCTCATCGCCTGAACGCCCAAGAATAGGAAGGAAACCGTCGCAATGAAGCCAAACATCATGTAGCGGACCGTGAGGGCCGTGTGAAAGGCGGCGCCCCAGTCCTTGTCCATGGCCTTCGGAATAAGGTAGGCAAGCGTATGCATCAGAGCCTCGAGAATGGCAATCCGGCCGAACCAGCGGTGGAGAAGGTTGAACGTGTCAAACGAAATGCCCAGCAGAGGGATCAGCGGGTTGTTGCGGCCGGCCAGGAGGAACAGGGGAACCATGTTCACCACGGCCAGGACACCGCTACGGTTGCGCAGCTGGGCAGCCGCCGTGGCGAAGTTGCTGTGCAGCTGGATATCGATGAGGCAGAAGGCAACGTTCGTGCAAAAGTAAGCGACAATGAAGGCCAGCTGCAGACGGGTGGGTAGGGTGCCAATGTTGACAGCGGAGCTCAACTGGATCTCACGGTTGTGGCGTTTGTGGAAGATGGGGGCGTAGACCAGGTTGCGCTTGAGCCACGACGTCTTGGCATGGGGACGGGCGTAGTACCGCTGCGTCTCGTTCTGGAGTGAGGTGACGGTACGGACATGGCGGAGCAAGGCGTAGGTGGCACGGTAGACGAACATGGCAGCGGCGACCGAACCAACGATGAGAAGGAGGTACTTGGCGAGCAGCCTGTTCTCCAGGCCCGGGTTAAACGCAGGCGAGTCGGCCAACGTGGTCGCATTTTGGGCAGTAGCAGCTCCGGTCGAGTTTGAGGCGGTAGTGGTGCCATTCATCGCGGCCGCGTTGTTGAAGGCATCGGCCCCCGTGGCGGTTTGACTGGATTCAGACATTGTCGTCCGTGTCTACCCGATATCGAGGTAAGAGGACGTGAAAAAAAGGGTGTGCGGCCGGAAACCAGCCGGCAAAATGCTGGGAAGGACACGACAAGGAGAATGATGGTTCTCCAAGTCTAGGTAACAGATGTCAATGCTGATGCGGATGTTGGTGCGGATGTCGATGTCGTCGTCGATGCCGTTGTCAATGTTGTTGTCGATGTCGGTGACACCGTTTTTTTCTGTATGAAGAGAAAGTGGGTTTGCGCGCGCGCCCAATGCTTTACAGATCGACCAGCGAGAGTGGTAGCAAAGAACAGGTGAAACGTTGACAGAGGACGTGTGTAGAGATGACGATTGATGGGTTCGAAGCAGGTCTTGGCACGGTTTTATACCGCTGGGTCGTGCCGGCTTTGTTACCTAGTTGTCAATGCAACTTGTTCGCGTGTGTTTGTCGGCCTCGTCCAGTCCAGCCGACCTTCACGTTCTGAAGGAGACGAAAGATTGCTGAAAATGTGACAAAGGCTTTGTCATATATGTCGTTGTCGCTTGGACCGTGAACAAAAGACTGGTTGTGTATGTTCGCATAAATGTAAGACGGTCGAATGAACAACACTTGATCGTGAAAGAATGGTCGAAATTGGGAGAAAAGGCTGCGAATGTGGGAAATGAACGAAAATAAGGAAACCAGAGAAGATGTAGAGAGAACCGGCTCGTTTGGCTTCCGTAGAATTGGATGTAAAGGGAAACGGTCTCGCCTGGCTGAGCAGTCTGGGACAGATTGGCGTTCTGATGCGTCGATATTGGCTGTGGATGGCTGGTTGGTTGACTGCCACAGTTTGCAAAAGGGATCGCGAGACGTAATATGGCGATGCAAATGAAATGGAATAATGGAATCAAAAAAGAGGGGAGTCAAGAAGCGAAGAGAAGAGAAGGTATGCAACGGCTCCGTGAAAGACAATAACACGCAGTGTTAAAGGAAGGAAGAATGGAGGTTGGAAAAGAAAAAGGGAGGTAGGAAGGGAAATGTCAAATTATGGCAAACAGAAAGAGCGGCAGACGCCAGATCGAGATAGATTGTCGAAGGTGCCTTCCCTCTTAATAGATCTGCTCTGGGCCAACCTTCGCAGGGAAAGAGCGGGTTGGAGAAGGAAGGAAGGACCTGCAAAAAGGGGGTGTGCCTTCCCCTTTTGGTAATTTTTCACATTCCTGACGATACTCGCTCTCTTTCCACACCCCCCTCCCCCGGACTGCCTATGTGCACCAAATTTGCAGGTACGTCAACCCTGGTGAAAACCCACAAAGGTTTGCCAGTCGTAGCTTCTGATCTGAGCAAAAAGTGACATTCGGACCCGGGCAAACACAGATCATAAACTGGGGAGGCTCATGGAAGGCGCGATCTTGTGTTTCTCCGTTTCGAGTGCTTTGTTTCGCTGGACGAATTTCTCCCCTGTCCACCCTCCTCTGCGAAATAAATTGGTGCCGCAACACCACGAAAAGCAAATACGAGAATGCAAGAAAACCGCAATGCCGACTGAACCACTGCGGCGTGTGATACAAGCAAGTCCATGGTTACAAGGACGTACGGGACACTCTCTCGAAATGAAGTGCATCACTTTGTTCGAGATAGAGTTTCTGTTGCGGCACTCACCCACAAATTAACTGGAACTTCAAGCGCTTTGCCCATATTACCGTGCTCGATCTAGGATTCTAGACCCGTTGCGTCCTCGAGAAGAAACAGACGCCGATAGTCAGCTGCTAAGGCTTCCCAGTGTTGCTTAGCATTTGTCCAATCTCAAGATCTCTATGGCGTACTAACAGCATTTGATAGATTGCAGGCCTCACATTCGGCCTTCGCCCGGCTTGTTTATGCTCGGCAGTGCGACACACGACTTCTGTTTGTTGGCGCGGCGTCATTGTTTCATTGCCCTGCTTAGATCCCATTGTTCGCAGGCCTGGTCTTTCACCAGCCTGTTCAGCGGCATTGTGCATTGATCTGTTTTTGGTCTTTGTGCATTGTCTGCCTCTTTGGCTTTGGGGTTTTCGACCTATGCCTATGTATCGGGCTACACTTCGCTTTTCTCGCGCATCTCAGCCTCGTTTGCCATCGTCACGCCTGTCAGGCCTATGTTGGTCATTCCAGTGTCAAAGTCGTATTTTATCGGCGATCTAGGCAGTGGTTCTCCTCGGTTCGGTGGTTTTCTGCAGGCCGCTTGTCGCCCCTGTAGCTGCCTCTTTTCCTTCCACTGCGTTCTTACTTTTTCTCGAGGAAGCTGTCTGTGTTCTTCTCGGCGATCTGCCGCAGGGGGGTTCCACTCACGACGCAGACCCAGCACCAACCACCCCCTGGCTTGGACTTGGAGCCGACCTTGTCTCTTATTATCGAACCAGAATGCTAATTCTCTGACCAGACTCCTCCATCGTCCTTTACCGATCTCGACAACTTGCACACACAGTGCTTCGAAGGACCTCAGTGGGAGTGCAAGTACCGAAACACTCTTTCCATTTTAACCTGTGCCCCTTGTCAGAGCTGCCAGAAGGCACTGAGACGCGTCTCCCGAAAGTAACGGCACATACAGCTCAGCGGTGACATTCATGTGACTACAAATTTTCGATTCCCGTACTCAACAGACGATCCCTCCAGACAAGAAAAGCAACACGGGAAAACAAACAGGAAATCAATATTGAGAGGCTCTGAGGCTATGAGGCAAAATGCAGGCGTCAGGCCTTGAAACGCGCTAGTCCTAGTCCAGGCACAAGTCAGGTGGAGGCCAAGATGCCTGGTGCATTCTCCGCACGCTGAAAGACGGCTGGTGTAACTTCTGCGATCATGAATGCCAGAAAGCGGTTGGGCGCTGTGGCTGAAGACCAAAAGAAAGGGGTTTTGTTTGCATTCTCTGTGGCTTCTGGTCCGTTCACTGTGTTGCTAACGCTAACAGGATCCACGGCTAACATCCATCCAGCCGTCGAGCGGCGCGCATTCTCGCTCTATTGGAATGATTGGCTAGCAGCGGCCTCCTAGGGTGAAACAAAGAGAAACAGCCGAAGGCGACGGGCGAATCAGAGGCCTGTCCCTTGCATTTTGCCAAGGGAACCGCCGGACCATGTCCTGTTCTTGACCTGGTAGCCTTCTCGTTTGCAGCTGTCCCACAGGCCACCAAGGCGGCCTGTTCCCCGTCTCCCTTTCAGTGCATACGACGATACAACATACATGCCTCCCTAGCAGAAAAAGGCGGGTTGTTTTCTACGAAGAAAGGAAAAGGGGGCCACATCCAATGATACTTTGAAGACGGCGGTGGTTCATCGCCACAATTGCAAGATTGACTAGGTTGCTCCCTGCGTCCTGCACCTCAATTCTCAACCGAGTCTTTTCCTCAACCCTTGCCGCCGACTCCCATTGGGTCATTCTCCTCCTGTGTCTGTCCATATGCCCCGAAAGACAAAAATATCATATACGGAGTACGACGTACACCGTGAGTAACCTTTCCTGTCGACAGGTTAGACGAGACGGCGGCGCGAAAAGCCTTCACAGGACCCCAGCAAGTATGATCCCAGGGTGTACAAAAGCCGAATGGAATCACGACAGAAAATTAAGGGTCCGGGCGTCAAATTTCTGGAGGAAACTCAAGGTTGACGTACTGAACAAGATAAGAGCCCGGAAAAAAAAGCCAAGACAACAAGGGAATGTCAAACAACACTCGGGGATCGCAAGCGCGGCGTTGTTCTTGCATGCCCGAACAACAATACCTCTGGCAAATAGGAGTTGTATCTCCGGTCCTCTTCTGCTTCCTTTACCAAACCAATCCCCGGCCTTGTTTGCCTCTGTTCTCAAACATACCAGTCCCCGTTACAAATGCTTTACAAACCGACCAGATCCCCCGTCAAAGAGGGAGATCATGCTAGCAAAGTGAACCAGGCAACTCCGGCTGAATTGGCGGGTCGACGAGCAGGATAAAAGGCTATGAAAGAGCGGCAAGATACAAGGATGCCCCGACCACTGGTCAAGGAAATAGGACGATAAACGTCGTCTCGTCTGCGGACCGCTTTCGTTCGACAACGCATGAAGTTGTAAAATATGCCAAGCGGCAGGGATCGCAGCGGATCGAATACAAACGCATGTCATGTTTGAAATGTGTTGCTGCTGGGCTTTACTGTTGCACTGTTGCGGCGGAGAGGTGCTTCAATACCATGATACCATGTTCTAGAAAAACAATCACAATCATGCCCTGTGATCAACAGGATTCCTTTCAGCATTTCTGCAAACTACAGAACACCACCCTCGGCACATGCATATCTGGAAAAGAGGGCCGAGCAAACGGCGCCCATGCAATGCCAGGACGTGCGCCGTGACTGTGCGTTGATGGGGTGACATTGCTGAAACCGTGAACTGTAGAAAACAGCAGACGACTGCAGACTACAGCAAGCGACGACAGAAACATCTACGCGTCCAGCCAAAATACAAACAGAACAGCATACGCATGACGAAACGACTAGAAAACTAAACCAAAAACTAATGACGACGACGACGACGACAACGACTGTGGAAAGCAGGAATGCCAAGCCCTATACGTTTTATAACCGCCGTGGGAAAGGGGAGTTTGGTGTTTACGAATGCTGAGAGAAATACGCAAGTATCAAGAGACAAAACTCGTTTTGAAAACTGCAAATGCAAACCTTAATACAAAACGATTGCGACAGCAGGGGAAGAGAGAATAAAAAAGACGAGATTCGCGTGTCGTTTGCTTATTCCCGTTTCGTCCCCAAGTCGGACAGTGGACGAAAGACACAAATCACTTCTCGCAACCGACGCTGCTTTTCGTGGCCGACATTATCGGGACGTGTGTCTCGTCCATCCTCCGCGGTTCATTGAGTCTAGTTGTGATGAAGGTCACAACATCACTTCTCTCTCCGATGAGTGGCTTGATTATCTAGGCGTCGTTGCTTCAATGCATATTAGGTGCTCACATGTAGCCACAGCCCTTTTCTTTTTCGAATTCCCCCCAAGAAAAGCCTCGTTGTTATTAACACCTATAACGATGGCTTTGTTTTCTAAATAAATATATACTTGGTAAATGAGAAAAATTAGTAACAACGAATGCCTATGGTATTTTTTTACTACAAATAGCATTCCAATCTGTGTCGTACACGAAATTTACTCACGACAAAATTGCATGTATGTACGACAGATACATATTGCAAGTTCGCTTCGGTCCGCACAAATAAGGTCCAATATAGATGCAAGGTGCGCATATGCTCCTTGTGATACATGCAATTTGGATCTTGATGTCGACGAGAAGAATAGGAGAACGAAAACGGAAAGGTGGATACTTTTAATAGTGGATGTTCTTTTCTCACCTACCTTGCCGCTTACACGAGAACTTGGCCGGCATGATGATGAGCTTTGGGCTTCGGGTGGCTCGATGCCGCCTTGTATGCATCTTTAGCTTCGATCTGTATATTGCTGACGGTCGTGAACAGGTGGGTCTGATTATAATTTGACCATTCCTGGCTATGTGTCCTGTCTCCTCATTATTGCTTGGGTGATGTTCGCATCATGAACTGTGAAAAATAAGACGAGTAGGCTTTTTAATGGTCTAGCTTGACCTCTACAGTGTCGGATAGAGGGCAACCCTTGCACCTCTTCTTGGGCTACGTGTATCCATGCAGCCGGGAGCGGCTTCCGAAATGTCTCGGCCTGGTATTATTTTCATATAAATTACTACAACCATGGGTATGACATATTTTGTCTCTGATCGGGATTCGAAGGGGTCCGTGGCTGAGTGGAAATGAAAACAGGAAGACGCTCAAAGACACAGTTGGACGCGAGCTCCGACCGACATTTGCATACACCAAGTGCAAAAAGGGGTGAGTTAGGCGAGCGAGTCCAAGTCTTGATACAGTCTTTCTGTTTCTCAATATGACGATGCCCATCCGCACATAAAATTTCCTGGACACAAGTACAGAGCAGTTGATGTGCAAAAGGCCACACCCGAGGACGACCTAGCCATGACGGAGACCATGTTTGAAACGTATGACTACTCGGCGGATTAAGCCGCACAGCACTGTGCCATATGTATCTGTCTCTGCTTAAACTCAGACAGACCGTGTATGTGACAGCCGGCAAAAGGCGATGACTGGGAAAAAACACTGCAAACGGCTTGTGCAAGTAAATAATCGACAGGGCCTCTCCACCCACCTGATACAAGACGTTGTCGCTCCGATCAGGGTTGCTGTGTTTCTCTCTGCCTTATCGTCTCCTAGTTAAGTCGTGCCCAGAGGATGGCCATCGTCCGTCAATCTAACGGGGATCCTGCCACCGAGGGGAGGAACCTGGCTTCGTCGAAGGGACTCTAACCCCCTAGTCTCCTGTCGTGTTTTCTGCCACGGCTAAAGCCGTTCGAAACAGGATCAACCGCTTTCATTCTTTCTTTCTTTTTTTTTTTCATCTGTGAGAGACGGCGAGGAAACACAAGTACAGAAGACTATCGAAAAAAGAGGAGTGTTAATAGCAAACCTGACAAAACATTTACAATATCATCCAAGGGGGATCTCAAAGCGTGGATTTCAAACTACCAAGTGGTTTCCAACAGAAGAAGAAACTCTTTTCAAAAATATAAGACCAAAGAAGTATCAACAGTGTCAGAAGATGGATCAAAGCGTATACCAAAGCCCTCCTCCTACAAACACAACTCGTCGTCGCTGGAGGCTACATCGACATCGTTGCCCGCGGGACGGTAGCGACTGCGACGCACCGGCGCTGCTTTCCCTAACACGTTCCCGGTCGATGCCCAAGCCTCATCGGCCTTCTTGGATCCGCCGGCGAGACCAAAGAGAGACATGCCTGCTGGCATTTCTGTTGTGTAAACGGGCTCCACCGTCTCATTGCACGCGGTTTCCTGGTAGTTGTTTTCATCTGCATCGTCGTTGTCCGAAACAATACTCAAAAGACGTCGCGTCGTTCCTGGGCGGGGCTTCGATTGCCATGCAGGAGAAACCGCCTGCAGGCTGCGTGTTCGCTGGCGGCGAGTAAATGAGGGAACGTCCGACTGGCTGCCTGGAGTCCTGGGAGACGACGCTGTGTCGTTGTCGCTGTCTTGGTCAGAACCAAGAGGTGATTGCGAAGATAGAGGGGTGGATGTCGGCAGTGAAAACCGGCTAGATCTTGCCATTGGCCGCCGAAGCGATCGCTTCGTGTCCAACACAGCCAGTTCTGGAGGAGGTATACTGTCGATGATGATGACCAGCTCGCTCTTCTGGGATGCCTTTGGTGCTGACGCAGGACGAGACGAGGGCGCGTGTGGAGTGGAAACCACCCACTCGCTAATCCCTTCTTCCCATCTGTAGCCGTCAAACAGAGCCGCTGCAGCTGGAGGGCAGGTCTTGGAGTATGGCAAGCCTGATGCTCCCAGTAAACCCGAGTTTGGCAAGTGACAGGGCGGTAGACGGTGCTCGTCCTTCTGGACAGCGCTCTTGCTAAGGCTCTCGGCAAAGGCGAGGTCGCGAAGGTCGTTGCTTCGGCTGGCAAGAAGAAAGGCGGCGTCTGCTTGTAATCGACAAACGTAGTTGGAATAGGAGTCGCTGTCAGACGGACTGTATAAGTGATGGGCCGCATGTGAGCTCAGCTTACGCAAATAGGCTTGAGAAACTGGGGCGCTCGACAATGTCGATTCGGAACCTCGGCCACAACACTCAGCCACAAAAGTGACAAAGGCAATGGTGGCATCATAAATTTGGCCGCTTTGGGTAGGCGAGGCGGTCGCAATAAATTCACGGAATCTCGTCTCGTCAAAGATGCTGCTCGAATGCGTGTCGGTCTTAGTCTCCACACAACAAGTTGCCTTGCTCGTGGACATGGACTGTAGGAGACATAAGGCTAGCATCAATAGATATTGTCGCGGATAGCAGTGACTGGCGACGTCGAGCCTGTGCTGTCCCTTCCTGGCCTTTATCTTTTGTGATATATCGGACAGAGAGCGCTGAACAACCGCCACAACGCGCTTGACGACTGCTGGTCTCGTAAGTGGATTGGTATCGCAGCTATCGAGCGAGGCCTCCTGCTGCAAAATTCCGATGGCACATATGCTTCCTAGAATGCTGACTATTGTGTGATATGATGAGGATGAAGTAAGAGGGGTGGTATTAGCAATCTTGGAGCTCGTCGTGGATTGAGGAGCCGCCTTGGGATGTGGATCGGATATGTCGTCACTTGACCGAGAGTGGACAAGTTTCGCTATTGCTGTTGCGAAGAACTGGAGCAGGCTGGTCTCTTCACAAACGGGCGGGCCTCTGCTTGATAAGAGCCGGATAGCGCGGTGCCATAGGCTGCTGAACGCCTGCGTCGACAGCCATGCAACCTGCAACTGATCGTTATTGAGTAGTTCTGCAATCTGCCGCAGAGATGTCGATGTCCGCCCGGTCTCGTCTGAATACTGTAGTAACATGCCCAGCAACGCCAGAGGTTCCGGTGACCCGGACAGATCGACTTGTGTGTCATGCGGCCTTTCGCAAATATGTTGGCCCTTGGGCAGGGAGGACCTATGGCTGTCAAAAAGTGCAGTCACCAAGTTTTCGGCCTCGTCATGTGCATTCAGATGTGTACAGAGTCGCACGAGCAGGCGAACAAAAGTGTCGTGCAAGAGACCTTCGACGCAGGCAGATTTGAGCATGTCAATGCCGTGCTCTCGAACGACAACGCGGAGATGCTTCCACCCACTAGTCTCGCTGCCTAGGGACTCCAGATCACTGTATATACCAAACGATACACTGGACGAGGGAAGCTGCACCACGCCCTCCTTCTCGGCCTCCTCGCGCTCTGCCTCCTCGCACATCGTGACGTATTGGGGAACTTTTCGGAGGCACATGGCAAAGAGCGAATTCGATTTTCGAGTGGGCTCGAGGGTGGACGTCGTAGATCGCAAGAGAGCGTCGACAGCTCGGAAGATCGAGTCGTATAGATGATGGAACTCGGCTGGCGTTGCTTTTTCTACAGCGGCCCAGCCACTGTCGATGGAGGGACTGGAGCTGCTGTTCGCGCCTGGTCGGCTGGGGTTCTGATAGTAACCGCGGTACTTGAAGCCTGGGTTCCTGGGATTGGGTCTGGATGTATTTTCATTGCCGCCTGTAACTGTGGGAATGACAGAGACGTCTCCAGCATCTGTCGGTACTGTGGACATGATGGGCGACGATGGCATCGACCAAGCTTGTCGATGCTTCCGTGCCCGACTCAAGACTGGTGTCGCCACCACGACCTCGCCGGGACAAAACGATCGTGCTGCTTGCTGCTTCAGCGGAGCGACTTTAACACGGCTGGTTTGGTCGCCATCCGCCGGATTTGCTGCCGCTGCGGACTCGTTTATTGCGCCTGGCTGGCCGTATCGTCGCCGTCCGGTCCCTTTGAGGGAGTATGTGTAGCGTACTCGTTTCCGGCCCGCTACGCAGTCGTCGGCGGTCGGTCGTTTACTGGGGCTCGTATTCTGTTGTCGAAGGTTATTCCTTTGCTTCGACACAGCTCTGGCCGTTTCCCTTCGAAGAGCCATCAAATGTGTCAGCAGAGGTCGGAGTTGTCGGTGGCACCGCGTCGCCGTCCACGGCTGCTCGGCGGCCGCGGCCTCGCGCTGTGACCAGGCCGGAAGGATGTCGCTGTTTCCATGTCGGTATATTGGCGGGGCGGGTGCCGTGTCTAAGAAAGTCGGAGTTCCCATCGTCCTTTGTGGCTCAATCCATCACGTCGCCTGTGCCCTCCAATTGCCCTCCAAACGCGCGAAGCTCTGCTGACGGGCTTGCCAAAGCGCGCCTCTCAACCAAGAATCGTAAACCAAGAGAGTAGGTATAAAAAAGTCCAATAATGTTCACTCCCAAAAGGCTCTAACGATGTCTGCGTGTGTCGCAGTATCTCAAAAAGAGTGCAATTGTAAAGAAGGTGTGCCACGAATAGCTGTATTGAGGTCGCCAAAAAGGGAGGACTGAGGGTCGTAGTAATGTGTCGTAATATGTCGCCGAGGCTAGCTTCTATGTGATAAGAGTGGTATAGTAATAGCGCCGGGATGGTGATGCTTGGAAGACATATGTCGATGAGTGTATCGTGAGGAAGAAATGGAGATGTTGAGTAGCAGTCGTCACTGTTTGTTGGTCCGCTTGCGGCTGTTTACTTCTTGCCTGTTTTGGCTAGTACGCTTGCCGAGGACATAGGACGCGACCCAGCGGTTCTCTGCGGCCAAAAGCTGTGGAACTGGAAGGAACGGAAACGAGCGCCTCTGATTGGCTGGGTAGACTACGGTTTTTTTTCGCCCAGGTCACGACTCGAACTGCCATTTTCAGTGACGCTATGCCGGGGACGCTAGGAAAGAGAAAAAAGAAAAAAAAAGAGGAAAGAGGAAAGAATGGACGCCGTCCGCTGGAAAATTGGAGATGGCCGCTGGAGACAGTCGCCTAATCACGGGAAGGACCAAGTGCCATCCTCCCGGTCTGCAGGAAAGAGCGAAAACGCGAGGCAGGAGCACACTCGGCCTGTCGAGGCAAGAGGAAGGACCAGACGAGATCCCCCCAGCATTCCTTCCCAAGCTGGCAGATCCGCCAGTTTCCTCGGCTCTCCCGCATGGTCGCCCTGCACACCCAATTGGCGCGCCTTCCCCATTAAACCGAATCTAGGTAAGTCGTTGCTGCCGGCTGCAGCATTGTCCATGATGGCTTATTTTTTTCTGTTAACCCGAAAAAAAGTTTCTCACGAGCGCAACCAAACATTGTCTTTTGCTGACCACTTCTGCCGTCTGTTGACTACCACACCACACCCTTTGGCAGCGACGCAATTCGATCTCTGCGGTTCTTTTCGTTTGTGCATTGCCTGGTTTTGGAGGTTTGGATCCGAAAAGTTTGTACTACCACCGTTTTCAATTTCCAGTTTTCCAATTCTTTCTTTTGCTTCTTTTTGTATTCTTTTTTCTTCCATTTTCTTTCTCTTCGCCTTCTCTATTTTCCTCGGCACGATACGCCACTCCGACTCTCGCTTCCTAAGCTTCAAGGACTACCCCTAGAGCTTGCGTGTTCTATTGCCTGCTGTTCGCCTGCAGTTTCGCCCCGTGAGACCCCCGAAGGTCCTTGATTCCACCGTTCGAGTCACCGACCTCTCGCCGCCACCGAATTGGATCTGTCAGGTCCAATTGGGTTGCACAACACCAGACAACCGCTCCGCCGTCCTTTCCACGAGCGGTTTATCCTCCGTTGCCGGCTCCCGCGACCAGCCGGCAGCCCCCGCCAGCCCACTCCAACCACCAGCTTCGAGCAACATGGCGGCCTCCGAAGACCAGGGCACCGCCCCTCCGGCCGCTCCTGTTGGTGAGTAGAGCTCTACCTGGCGTCTATTGTAGAATTTCTGTCGTGGGGTGCTGTCTACGGGTGCATTGGATGCTAATACAGGTGTAGAGGACAAGGTTGCTACCGAGAATGCTGCCGTTGAGCAGACCGAGGTCGACGAGGCTGAGCAAGCGGCTGAAGGTACGTCAGACGACTGGAGATCCATGCTCGTCCCCGTCACGGACACGCAAATCGCCGCTGTGCCGAATTGGCGTGTTTTACTAACCGGCTGTTGTGTGCAGAGTCGCTCTACAACCTCACAATCGTCCTACCGCACTCGTCCGAGACGCTGACGATCATGGTAAGCAACAAGCCTCGAACGACGTCACCATGGAGCTGTTCGGCCCTTCTAACACATCCTTTCCCCAGATCTACGCCCACGAGCAGGTCAGCGAGGTCCGTCAGGCCATCATCGAGTCGCCCGCCGCCCAGCAGTACTCCTGCTTCCACCTCGAATACAAGGGCGCCCGCATCAACGAGTTTGGCCAGGTCTCCGAGATCGCAGACCTTGCCCTCGAGGCCGACATCCACGCCGTCGAAGACCCCTACACCGAGAAGGAGGCCCGCCTCCATGTCATTCGGATACGGGACCTGATCGGCGCCGCTGGCGACCACCCTGACACTGTCCATGGTGTCCTGCCTGGCCTGTCCCTCTTCGACAGCGTCACCGCCGAGGCCACCGCTGCATCTGAGACGACCCCCGTCGAGTTCGACTTCACTGCGCCGGCCGACCAGACTACTCTTCTCCCTCGCCCGTCCTCGGACGAGTCCGCGCCCAAGACCATCAAGGCGCTCCAGATCTCGCCCTGGAACCCGCCACCAGCACATCTGCGCCAAAAGGGCCACCTGATGTACCTCATCGTGACGACCAACGAGGGCGAGCAGTTCCAGGTCACCTCGCACGTCGCTGGCTTCTACGTCAACAAGTCGTCCAATTCCAAGTTCGACCCCATGCCGCGGCCGGCCCCGAAGGCTCACTCGGCCCACTCACTGCTGAGCCTGATCGAGGACCTGTCGCCGTCGTTTGCCGCTAGCTTCGTCAAGCTGCAGCAGTTCAACAGCCGCCACGACCCCCTGTCCACTTTCCAGATCACCAACGCTCTGCCCGCGGCCCCGTGGCTGGTGCCTGCCTTGTCGTCGCCTGCGCGCACGCACAGCTCCGACATCACCCGCACCCAGGAGGCCTACCTAATTGCTGGAACGGAGAACGTGGACAACCTGCGCGACTGGAACGAGGAGCTGCAGTCGGCCCGCGAGCTTCCCCGCGACACCGTCCAGGACCGCATCTTCCGTGAGCGCCTTGTCGCCAAGGTGTTCGCCGACTACATTGACGCCGCCACCCGTGGTGCCTTGCTCGTGGCCAGCGGCGAGGTGGGCCCGCTGAATCCCACCGAGGGCCGCGATGCGCAGATCTTTGTGTACAACAACATCTTCTTCTCTTTTGGAGCGGACGGTGTCGGCACCTTCACGTCCGAGGGCGGTGACGAGGCTGCTCGTGTTGCTACTGGCAAGGATGTTGCCGGTGTGCGCCGCATTAACCAGCTTGATCTGGACGGCCTGTACTCGCCCGGCACCGTTGTTGTCGACTACCTCGGCAAGCGCATTGTTGGCCAGAGCCTTGTGCCCGGCATCTTCAAGCAGCGCGAGCCGGGCGAGAACCAGATCGACTACGGCGCGGTGGACGGCAAGGACGTTGTTGCTGCGGACGAGCGTTTCGTTGCGCCGTTCGCCAAGATGTCGCAGGCGCTGAACGTCAAGCGCCACGCCGTCTGGGACAAGGACCAGAAGCGCCACGAGCTAGAAGCCAGCGTCGAGACCAAGGGCTTGATGGGCACGGATGGCCGCAAGTACGTTCTGGATCTGTACCGCATCACGCCGCTGGACATTTCTTGGCAGGAGGCAGGTGAGGCTGCCGAGAAGGACGGCGCCCCTGCCTACCCGCACCGCATGACAGTACTGCGCCCGGAGCTCATCGACATCTACTCGCGTGTCAAGATGCGTGAGTGGCTCGATGGCGAGCTTGCCAAGCGCAACAATGCCAAGGCTGAGGAGACGTCTGAGAAGACCGAGAAGACAGAGGAGACAGAGGAGAAGATTGAGAAGGCCGAGGAGACGTCTGAGAAGACCGAGAAGACAGAGGAGAAATCCGAGGAGGGCGAGGCCAAGGCCCAGGACAACCGTATTGACGTGTCCGATTTCAAGTTCGCCCTCAATCCTGACTCGTTCAGCGGCCAGGTGCCGCAGACCGAGGAGGAGAAGGAGGAGATGGCCAACGACGAGAAGGACGTCCGTGCCGTGTGCACCTATCTGCAGGACGTTGCCATCCCGTCTCTGATCTCCGACCTCAGCGAGTCGGAGATTAGCTTCCCCATGGACGGCCGTTCCCTCAGCCAGCTGCTGCATAAGCGCGGCATCAACGTCCGCTACCTCGGCCGCGTTGCCACACTGAGCGAGAAAGAGGAGCGCCTCAAGTGCCTGCACGATGTGTCCGTCCGCGAGATGATCTCCCGTGCGTTCAAGCACGTCGCCGCCAAGTACCTTCGCTACCTGCCGCTGCCGCTGAGCTCGGCCTGCCTTGCGCACCTGCTGAACTGCCTGCTTGGCGCTGGCCTGAACTCCAAGCCGACGGCCGATGTGGACCCGTCCATCCGCAGCCTCTACAGCGAGGCCGACCTCGCGTTCGAGTCAGTGACGCCTGAGAGTCTGCGCGCCGATGTCGAGGCGGAGACGGTCCGCCGCTTCCGCTTCACGCTGCCGGCCAGCTGGCACACGGGGATGCGCAACCACCTGCAGCTGCTGCGCGAGGTCTCGCTGAAGCTGGGCATCCAGGTGCTGAGCTCCAAGTTTGCCTTTACCGCCGAGGAGGCAACCGCTGCCACGACCGAGAATGGCCAGACCGGCCAGAACGGCCAGAACGGCCAGAACGGCACGGCGAACGGCGCACCCGCGAACAATGGCGCGGCTAACGGCGAGGGCAGCAAGAACAAAAAGAAGAAGAAGGCAGCGCGCGACGGCTCGCCGTCGTCGATCGACTCGGAGGCTCGCGCTGCCGCCGCGCGCCCCGCACACACGTTCTCGGCAGACGACATTGTCAACGTCGTGCCTGTGGTGAAGGACTCGGCGCCCCGTGGCTCGCTGGCCGAGGAGGCGCTGGAGGCCGGCAAGATCTCGCTGTCCCAGGGCCAGAAGAAGATTGGCCAGGAGCTGCTGTTGGAGTCGCTGTCGCTGCACGAGCAGATCTATGGTATCCTGCACCCCGAGGTGGCACACGCGTACCACACGCTGTCGATGCTGTACTACCAGATGGACGAGAAGGACGCGGCGGTCGAGCTCGCGCGCAAGGCCATTATTGTGTCGGAGCGCGTCGTCGGCGTTGACAGCCAAGAGACGCTCCTCGACTACCTGAACCTGGCGCTGTTCCTGCACCAGCAGGGCAAGAGCGCGCTGGCGCTCGAGTACGCCAAGCACGCGCTGCGTCTGTGGCGCGTGATGTACGGTGCGGACCACCCGGACGTGATTACGACGATGAACAACGCGGCGGTGATGCTGCAGAGCATGAAGGCGTACCACGAGTCGCGGCGGTGGTTCGAGGAGTCGCTGCGGGTGTCGGAGCAGGTGTTTGGCCGCGCGTCGCTGAACTCGGCCACGCTTCTGTTCCAGCTGGCGCAGGCCCTGGCCCTGGACCACGACAGCAAGGCGGCTGTGAATCGCATGCGCGAGAGCTACAACGTGTTCCTCAACAAGCTCGGCCCCGACGACAAGAACACCAAGGAGGCCGAGAGCTGGCTCGAGCAGCTGACGCAGAACGCCGTGTCGCTGGCCAAGCACGCCAAGGACCAGGAGGCCCGCCGCCTCCGTGCGGGCATCAAGTTCACGACCCACGGTGCGGCCGCCGGCTCGGTGGTTCCCGGTGCCGGTGCGGGCGCCAAGGCCGGTGCGACGCCGGCCAACGCGGCGGCTGGCTCGGCGGCCTCGGTGGGCGACAAGCCGTCGATGGACTCGCGGTCGATTGACGAGCTGATCAAGTTCATTGAGGGCGCAGAGGGCACGAAGAAGGCGACGTCGGGCGGCAGCAAGAAGCGCAGCAACCCCAAGCGGAGGGGTGCGGCGTAAGAAGCTGTCACGACACTCTCGAACGTCAGGCAGACACAAAATAACCAAATCATAAAAAAACGAAAAACGATACAATAAAAGAAAAGGCGACAACGAGGGTAGTTTACATTAGAAAAGGGGCGGTCGACCGGAGTCTCGAATTCGACAGCTTCCGGGTGTATTATCAACAGCACGCACAACCTCCTCCACCACTCCACCGCACCATTTCACAGAGGTACCACATCTCTTGATCTCTCGCATATCCTCCCGATTGCTTTGCATATGTTGTTTGTCATTTGATTGCATTATTTCGCATTTTCTCTCATCTCTGTATCGCCTATTGTCCATGTTGCGACTTTTACATGTTCCAAAACCTATAAAATTCCTCTCTCAACTCCATTTCAGCATTGTTTTCTCAATGCGCACACAACCAAACTTCCCTCCTATACACATGTACATATAAAAAGCATCAATAGGTGGACACGGCTTTTTCTGGTCTTTTCTTTCAGGGTTTGTTTTGTTGTCGTCTTCCCTTTTTTCTTCGAGTTCCGGAACTTAAATGCAGAATGGGCCAAGACACAATAAAGAAGGGAAAAGGGGGGATTTATAGAGAAGACGCCTCGCCGTCGAACCTCGTCTCTTCTGGGTATTTACAAAATGGCGAGGGAGTCAAAAAGGGAGGATAGTTTATTGTTAGAAAACGGGACATGAGGCCACGGCCGTCATTGTATATATATACACACACTCTCCAATCCATCAGCATTCAACACATAGTTACCATTGCTAGAGATGAGAGAAGCCAGTGAGATGCATGTGTATAATAAAGTGGTCATAATGGCAACGTAAAAGAGATTTTCACGGCCCAGGGAATGCTGTCGCTTAGTCATCAATATATCGCCCAGTCCAGCCGCTGTTCGTGGGTCCTCGCTGCCATAATCGCCTGTAATTACAGGGCAGTTTCGGGCGAATCAGAGACCGGCTTTTGGGGAAGATGACTTCTCTTGGCTCCAACGCCACATGCTTCTGCGTCTTTGCAAGTCATTTGCCTCATGGCAGCGCATTTTGTCAGCCGGCCTACGTCATTCGCATCCAAAAACCAAAACAAACTCGAAAATATCGCCAAGATGAGTGCACCGTGGCTTGCCGTACCGCGTAGCCTGCAGGGTTCCGCCGCTGCATCTCGGGCGACGTCTGCATCGGCTCTCCGGTCGCCGGCTTCGTCCTCATTCTCACCGCTGACCATCTGCGGCGCATGCCGGAGGACCCGGAGCCGGACCAGGGTGGCTCACCGGTCGTACAGCAGCAGTACTGGAGCCGCCTTCCCTCAGGTGCCGGCGGCTGGCGTTACTGCCCTGGCCTCGCGCCGCCTGATTTCCGTGTCGGGTCCAGACGCTGCAAAGTATCTGCAGGGCGTCATCACCTCGAGCATGGTACGTTTGCAGACGCAGACGGGCCAAGACGACGGAACGGGCGCAGCGCCACCGCAGTCCGGCTTCTACTCGGCGTTTCTGAGTGCGCAGGGCCGCGTGCTGCACGACGTCTTTGTGTACCGGGACACACTCGGCGTCGGCAAGGATGCCGGCAGCGGCGGCGACGCGAGCGCGTCGTTTCTCATCGAGGTCGACGCCGACGCGGCCGCGACTCTGGCCAAGCACATCCGGCGGTACAAGCTGCGGGCCAAGTTTGACGTGCGGCTGCTCGCGGCCGACGAGCTCACCGTGTGGCACGGCTGGGGTCTGCCCGCGGGCGCGCCGTTGCCGTCCGTTGGCGCCGATCCTGATCCTGGACTGATTGCCCACCACGATACCCGTGCACCCGGTCTTGGCTGGCGGTTTGTTGCGCCGGCCGCCCGCACAGCGTCGTCCCTCCCTGCGCAGATTGAGCTCAACGTCGCGGACGAGGCTGCGTACCGCGTGCGACGCTACCTGCTGGGCGTCGCCGAGGGCCAGCGCGAGATGCTGCACAACCAGGCGCTGCCGCTCGAGAGCAACATGGACATTATGGGCGGCATCGACTTCCACAAGGGCTGCTACGTCGGCCAGGAGCTGACCATCCGCACGCGCCACCGCGGCGTCGTGCGCAAGCGGATTCTGCCGTGTCTCGTGTACGGCGCCGACGACGAACAACCGCGGTCGCTCGCCGTGGACGCACACGGCACCACCAGCCCCGGCCTGGCCGACACAATCCCCGCCGAGACAAGCATTGGTCGCGTGGGAAAGCGGGGCCGCAGTGCCGGAAAGTGGCTGAGCGGCGTGGGCAACCTGGGTCTGGCGCTCTGCCGGCTCGAGACCATGACGGATGTTGCGCTTCCCGGCGAGGCAGTGGCGGCCGCAGCGACGGCGGCAGCCACCTTTGACCCGACAAGCGAGTTTGTGATGAAGTTTGTCGAGGGGAGCGAGAACGACGGCGAGGGTGGCAGCGGGGGGGAGGGCGAGGCTGATGCCAGCGCACCGACAACAGCCGTCAAGATCAAAGCCTTTGTGCCCGACTGGCTGCGGCAGGGATTGGCGCCACAGGATTAGGGCGAATTCGTGATTTCATACTTGAAAAGTAAACCAGTTGTATTTTACTCCGTTTACTCAAACGAGAACGGACGGGTATCATATCTAATGTACATAACGCATAGAAGCATAAACCAACACTCCTCACCGCCCTGGTCCCAAGACCCTCCTCCTAGGCAGCCGTGTCCATCGGCACATGTCCTGTTCTGGCCGACGGCGCCGCCGCAGGGAATTTAGGCACTCTCGTGATAAACTTGCGTACCTCGGGGTCGTCAATCTCTTCCCACTGCGGCTCGAAGGGCGTCACGGTGGCCGACGCATCTCCCGCGGCGTGCCGCCTTTGGGCCGTGCCCGCCGCCTTCAGCCGGTCCATTGTGTACGCAAACAGAGGCCGTTGCTGCACGGTCGCTGCATCGCCCGCCTTGGCCTGCGCAGCACCCGTCTTGAGCAACTTGCGCCATTCTGCGTCGGGTTGGGACAAAGGTGCTTGTTGTGCTGTTGCTGCTGCTGCCGCTGCTGTATCTGGTGCCGCTGGTTTGGAACTGTCGCCGTCCCGCACACCGCCCTTCCTTTCGGCCCGCCGCCGCGCCTTGTCTTCCTTGTCCCGCAGCCGCTGCTCGATCTCGGCAATCCGCTCGTCCTCGCGCTGCCGCACGCGGTCTTGGGCTTCCTGCTCGCGGCGTTGACGCTCTTCGGCCCGCCGCCGGCCGGCTTCGCGCAGCTTGTCGCGCTCCGTCGAGGCAGCAGGGGCCGTCGACGTGCTGGTGGCCCCGCCAAACGGCACACCTCCCATACCTGCAGCAGTGGCTGCCGCCGCCGCTGCTGCACCGTGCTCCCGCTCGGCCGCCTCCAGCTCGTCCTTGAACCGCCGCCGCTCGGCGCTCATCTGCTCGCTCTGCAGCCGCCGCTGCGCCGCCGCCGCGCGGCCCGTGTCGTACACCTTGCGCGCCTCGTCGTCCACCAGCACATCCCGCGCCCGCGCAAATCGCTCGTATAGTGTCGGGTCGTAGTTGGCGCCCGCCTTGTCCGGGTGGTATTTGAGACCTTTGCGCCGCCATGCGCGGTGGATGTCGTCGCGCGACGTGCTGCCGTCCACGCCCAACAGGTCGTAGAGGTCCACGCCCGCCTTGGCGCTCTCGCGTGCAAACGCGACGATCTCTGCTTTGTCGTCCATGGCGAGGGCGGTGTGTGGGGGGGGTATGTGTCGCGAGGAGAGATGTGTGAGAGGTTGGATTAGGTGTGAAATGCACTGTGATGCCTGGAAAGGTGTGATGTGCCTGCTTGTGGCAGGCGGCAAATTTTTTATCTTATCGCTGCGCTCATTAACGCGCCAGGTGTGGTGGCACGCGTCAGGCGTATTTCGTTACAGCAGGTTCAGCGAACACCTAGCGCTAAAATACAGGGCCCACTGCCTTGATCCTGTGCATTCGCCACTTCATCACTGTGGCTTTTATGCGCCTCATACATAGAAACCAGTCTACCTGTCTCCTTCTCACTTCTCAAATTGGAATGCCCATGCGGATCAAAGCTTCTGACCCAAAACGAAGCGTTGCAAGCTTAACTAAGTTAAGATTATGTCGTGTCCGCCGTGCCTTCTTGTCTTGCGCTCCGCCTCGTCGCTCACCTGTTGCTGCATCAACCCTAGAATTACAGTGGAGTCAGGGCGCTGCAGTGACCTGTGAACTGAGACGTCGTGAGATAAAGGTGGCATGCACTCCAGCACAGAGCCTTTATTCTACACGAGACTCTTGTAAATAAAAAGATGATGGAACAACAAGAAACCACAGAGCTACGAGAAACGAGACTGTGCCGTCAAACTTCCTCGATCAAAATCGGCAAAGATCTCGAGATGTTAGAACCTCTGAAGCAACTGAAGCCACTATAATTATAGTGGATTCCAGTGGGCTTCACGGCCTGAATCAGGCTGACGCACCTTCCACTTAAATGGGCCAGACGTGGTTGCCCCGTCAACACGAATGGACCCACCCAATGTAAACATCGCCATTAAAAGGAGGCAGACCGACCACTTTTGCTTCATTTGTCTCTCTCTTTCCCCTTTCCTTTCTTCTTCACCACCTACACTCACCTCCTCCCTCCCGCTCTCCCTCACATTCCTCGTACATCCTCTGCTTTTAAAGCGTCATCGCTTGTCCATGTCTCTTGCCTCGCTCCTGAATCACCTCAAGTCCATTAGATCTTTTCGCTCCTAGCCATCAGATCGCCCCTTCGACTTGCATACTATTCCCAGCAGGCTCTCACCTCGATACATTAGACCGAAACAGAAAAGAAAAAAAATAAGATAAACCTAAGAACCACTAACCACACAACCAACAATTCCAGGAACCATTAGCTTGAGTCTCTTGGAGCTCGTTCGAATCATCGGATAAGCTCATCTACACTCGCATTTTGTCTTTTTCCCGCTTTTTTTTAGCAAATCCTTCACAATGGCCTCCGCCGCTGTATCAACACCCCTCAAGTCCCATGCTGGACTCTTCTCCTCCCGGACCGCTGGCGGCCGCATGCCCCTGACGCCCTCCCCCCGTCAGCGCACCGCCGCCGCCCCGTCCAACTACGACTCCTCCCCCTTCACACCAGAACGCCAGCCGGCCAACAACGGCGCCGAGCGTATCTGCACAAAATCCGTCTATGGCGGCAACCTGTCCTCGCACTTTGCCCGTGCCTCCAAGTCGTCGGCTGCCCACCGCGACTCGCCCAAGTCCAACATTGCCCGCGGTGTTCCAACGCCGCGCAAAGCCCTCGAGCTCGGCGTCTCCGACTTTGCGCTGACCGGCACTGGCCAGCAGGCCAAGACCCCCTCGAGCGTCCGCACCAAGAAGACAACTGTGCGGCAGAAGACCACCAAGACCACTCTCACCTACGCCGCCGCCGACCGCTTCATCCCCAACCGTGCCGCCAGCTCTGCCATTGCCAACGTTGGCTCTGGCAAGCTTGACTTTGCCGACCGCACGCGCCCGTCCAGCCGCACGGGCAGCGAGGCGTCCACCGTCCTGTCCTCGGCCACCGACGATGCTCTGGCTGCCCTGGAGGCGCTGAACATTGACGACCGTGACGACGACGACTCGGCCAGCTACTCGCGGCCGTCGCCCGGTTCGATTGCCTACCAGGACTCCCTGGCCAGCGCCTGCGGTGTCAACATCAACACGCGCATTCTGCAGTTCAAGCCCGCGCCACCTGAGTCGTCCAAGCCCATCGACCTGCGCCAGCAGTACAACCGTCCCCTGAAGCCGGCCGGTGCCAACGCGGCCCAGTTCCGCCGTCGCATCGCCACCGCACCGGAGCGTGTCCTTGATGCCCCCGGCCTGGTCGACGACTACTACCTGAACCTGCTCGACTGGAGCTCTGGCAACCAGGTTGCCATTGGTCTGGAGCGCAACGTCTACGTCTGGTCGGCCGACGAGGGCTCGGTCAGCTGCCTGCTCGAGACCAGCCCGGACACGTACGTTAGCAGCGTGAAGTGGTCGGGCGACGGTGCCTACGTCGGTGTCGGCCTTGGCTCAGGCGAGGTCCAGATCTGGGATGTCGCCGAGGGCACCAAGGTCCGCAGCATGTTCGGACACGACACGCGCGTTGGTGTCATGGGCTGGAACAAGCACCTTCTCTCGACCGGCGCTCGCAGCGGTCTGGTCTACAACCACGACGTCCGCATCGCGGAGCACAAGGTGGCCGAGCTCGTCTCGCACACGTCCGAGGTCTGCGGCCTGGAGTGGCGCTCGGACGGCGCCCAGCTCGCAACGGGCGGCAACGACAACCTCGTGTCCATCTGGGATGCCCGGTCGCTGGCTGTGCCCAAGTTCACCAAGACCAACCACAAGGCTGCCGTCAAGGCTCTGGCCTGGTGCCCCTGGAACATGAACCTGCTCGCCACGGGCGGTGGTTCGTACGACCGCCACATCCACTTCTGGAACACCACGTCGGGCGCACGCGTCAACAGCATCGACACCGGCTCGCAGGTCACCAGCCTCCGCTGGAGCACCAGCTACCGCGAGATTGTCAGCACAAGCGGCTTCCCCGACAACTCGCTGAGCATCTGGAGCTACCCCACGCTGGTCCGCAACGTCGAGATCCCGGCCCACGAGAGCCGTGTTCTGCACAGCTGCCTGAGCCCTGACGGCCAAATGCTTGCCACTGCTGCCGCCGACGAGTCCCTCAAGTTCTGGAAGATCTTTGAGAAGAAGGCCGGCGCCAGCGCCAGCTCGGGCAGCTCGGGCTCCTCCGGCAAGGCCGACATGGTCAAGCAGATGACGATCCGCTAACTGCGACGACGTCAATACGGCAATACGGCAATACGACAACAGCGCAGCAACACTCGACAACGAACAACGACACATCAACAACTGCTCGGCTTACTCTCTCCCCGATGTAACTGGCAACGGTAGGTATAAACGGATCCTGATTTCCTCGTCTGGGCTTTTATATCTGGTTTCATTGGGTTGGCAATTTGTTTTTCGTCTTCTTTCGTCCGGTTCGACAAAGACAAGACTTGGGTCGTTTCAGCGCGGAGTTGGGGATAGGGGGCTTGGTTGGCTTCACGATTTATTTACGATGGACAACTTGGCCGAATGTTCGATACTTCGCCAACAGGAAAAGAGGATACATTTTTGTTATGCCCTTTTTTTATGAGACGATTTCTACTTCACGACGGAAGAGGAGGGTACCTACGGAAAACTGGGTTTCTCGAGCTCTTATTCTAATAATGAAAGCGGCTGCTGCTATTTGCATTTCAACAACGGCGATATTGAACAATTCGAGGCTTTGACTCTGTCTCTTATCATCTCCAGTTACTCTCACAATGTATGCCTTGTTGTATATAGGATTACCTTGAAGATGCGTGGCAAAAGCCGTGATGAAGCTGAACCTATTGTAGCATGCGGAGTGCTGTAGAAGCTGTTAGAACAAGCGCAGACCGCTGAGAAATAGGGCGTCAAGGGCATCCTGGAGCAGAGAATTGCCGCCTGGATTCCCGCCGACAAACGTGCCAAGACACAGCGCACGTGACCTGACTGCGGTAGTGGACGTAGCGAGGTGCGGCGCTAGCTAAGCAGGCACGGGCAGACTTATTACAAACTGCTGGGCAGCAGCCAAACTTGCCGGAAACAAACCACTGTTTTTGCATCGCCGTCACTGAACGCACATTGTTCAACGACGACCACATCCAGCACCCTCGCTCCGCAACCGCATACTGTGTGCACGTAACGACGACGACCCACCGCATTCACTTGTTTCGTCGCTTCCCGAGCCTCACAAGCCAATTCAAATAGGCGTTGTCGTGGTGGAAAACGCAACCGAAGGCCTCGTGATTTTAAAGTTACTTTGCAGCACTTGCAAGACAGCCTCACGATCACGTAACAATCGCGGCGCAATTACAGCAGATTTCGCAGTTGAGGTACAGCTCAGGCGCAACAGACGACGGTAAGGCCAGGCAGAGACAAAAGTCAGGAGACTCCCTTTCTGTGAAAGCCGACTCTTGAGGCCCAAAGCCACGAGCATTCACCACCTGCGACGAAAGCGCAATCACATCGACAGCACGGCTGAGAGGAAGTCGAGCCCTGCACGACACGACTCAGCTTCACCGTTTTTTTATTTTTTTTGGCCTTTTGGAACCGTTCCCTTAAGTCGCAAACGCCTCCTCATTCTCACCTCGCCTTGACGTCCCGACTTTGCGTTCCCAAGACTCGCGCCGTCATCTCACCGCACCCCCGGGGGATCGATCGACACGCAGCACCCGTCCGAAACATTGACGTACCGAGAGTCGATTGCGAGCCAGAGCGTCTGCTTGGCCAGCCCCAAGTCGAGCCATGTCAAATAACGTCGTCGGCTCGGTCTACGAGCAGATTATTGAGGATGTGCTCTCGACGTCGCGCGTCGACTTTGAGGAGAACGGCGTCGACGAGGGCGTGCTGGACGAACTGCGAAGAGTAAGTTGGTTCTCTCGTGCATTGTCTGGCTTTTCTGGCTTTTCTGTCTGTCGTTCTTGTTCTGTTGCTCCGGCTTCGTCGTCGTTTCCTCTCTCCCTGTGCAGTCTTTTGCGTCTTCCATCGTTCTGGCGCCCTCACGTGCACGACGCAATGTCTTCCGTTTCTCTTTCTTCTCTTCCAGAAACAAATGTTCTCGTCTTGTTTCCGTTTCGTTCCTCCTTCTTTTCGTGTTCAAACTCCCGTTTCAAGCGTCGTGTCGTCGAGGTCTCGTCGCTTTCTTGTCACCCCATCGTCCGCGTTCAGGTGGCCAAAAGGCACGAAGAGAGGGGCGCGGAGTGGGCGGCCATGGCCTATTTGCATCCCTATTTAACTTTGCCACTTTGGCTCAGCCCCACGATTGCCTAAGGTGCCCACTGAAATTCAGGCGGCTAAAGCGGCCACCGGGCTCCACTGGCCATCACTGAAGGGACGCTAATTGGTGGAAAGTCTCCATCTGCGTTTGCATCACGTGTAACCTGCACTCACTCTCGCATGAGGCCTTGACATTCCGTTTGGCATATTCGTTTGCATACTGTTTGGCTTGACGCTTTTTATCTACAAATTAAAATATGGTGATTTACTAACGTTCGACCTCAGGGCTGGCAACGGAAGCTGACCCAGTTCAATGTTGCCCAGTTCCCATGGGATCCCAAGCCAGAATCGGAGGCGACCGCCAGCAACGGCGCTGCTGCAGCCTCGTCTGGCGGCAAAGCGTCAGGCAAGGACACCTCGCCGCCGACGTCGACGGACAACAGTTTCTCCCAGCCCACCATGAGCCCATTGACGTCGCAGAGCCTCTCGCTGCCCAGCCTGCCCATGCCGGCGTTTGAGCCCGCCGGCATCAAGACAGAGGACAGCACGCAGTCGTCGGGCGGCCACCGCATCAAGACGGAGCCCGACGCACAACACAGTTCGGGCCTTACGGGCGTGCCCGCTGCAGGGTCCCACATGCCCCTGCCCAATGCGCCGCCGTTCCCCTCGGCGGCCGGTGGGCCCGACAGTGCCGCCATGCGTGCCGCCGCCATGCTGAGCAAGGAATTCGGCAGCGCCGCCAACGCATCCATCAACGCCATGAACACGCAGCAGCAGCAGCAACAGCAGCGTCCGGTGGGTGGCCAGCTCAGCAGTGCGCAACAATACCGAGCACAAATGTCGGCGCAGGCTGCCGCACAGCTGACCGGCGCCAACGGCGTCGCACGATCGCAGGTAGATGGCAGCGCCGACGATGGTGCCGAGGACAGTGCTGACGCCTCGCTGTTTGAGGGTGTGCTTCTCCAGCAACAGCGGGCCGGCCAGCCGCCCGTCGAGCTGGGTCGAATGGAGATTGACAACCTGCTGCACGAGCAGATGGCGCGGCGGGCGAAGCAGATGGAGGGCGGCGGCCTGATGCTGCCGCTGCAGCAGGCGAGTCAGCGTCAGGCTCGCCAGCGGCGCGCTGCCGCGGCGGCCACCGCTGCTGTTCCTGCTGCTCCTGCTGCGTCACAACCCAGAGCCGCTACATCGATGGCGCAGCTTGATGGCATCGAAGACGGCGACGACGACGACGTTAAGGCCGACATCTTGGACGACGAGGATGCCATCAACTCGGATCTGGACGATCCCGAGGACGACCGTGAGGATGAGGACGACGAGGACGACGTCATGGGCCCGATTATGCTGTGCGTGTACGACAAGGTGCAGCGCGTGAAGAACAAGTGGTACGTTTTAGTCTCCTTTTCCATTTCGTTGTGTTTCACTATTGGCGACGTCTACTAACTCCATTACAGGAAGTGCACGCTCAAGGACGGTGTTCTCACCGTTAATGGCAAGGAATACGTGTTCCACAAGGCGACGGGCGAGTACGAGTGGTGATGTCTCTGCGTAGGCGTCCTTGAGAAAAGATTGGGCCGGGCGAGGCGGAGCAAACCAATGTGTGCTCACCGTCGCCTACTATTCAAAAACAGCATCTTATAGTTTCTAGTTTCTTGTATTGTCTTCTCACAATGGTTTCTGGGGTGAGATTACATAATAACGCCTCACCGTTTTGTTTTTCTCGTATTTTTATTTTTATATTCGACTTTACCAAATGGAACAGGCAGCGGTTGATTTATCGTTTCTTATGATCGTGGGTTGAACAGCGAAGAGGAGATGAATAGAAACTAAAAACAGTACCGAACCAGTGCCGCCCCAAACACAGTTAGCCCTTCCTCGGTGAGCCATTGTCCACAGGATCAAGCGCAGTAAACGCATAGGCACGTAGAAATAAAATAGTTTGCGTTGTGGAACAGATGTGCCTCCATTCTGCCAGTCCCAGTTGCACCGCCCCGAGCTCCGCGACGGCCGACTCCCGTGAATAAATCGGGAGAAGCAACAAGGGCCGGCCCAAAGCCGACCCCCGGGAACAACGACATGTTTTTTTATCTGCAACACCACAAGTGTTCTCCAGCTTCAGGCTTCTAGACCTTCTGGATACGTCGAGGCTCTTGGGCTGAGCTGTCGGAAACCTGTCTCGTCTCCCACTTTCTCATCGTCCCCACATTGCAAGCTCCGTAAAAGCCGCCTTCGCTCATGCACGTTGTCAGCTGCCACTCGGATCAGCATCGCCTCCCACCTTCATCTCCGGTCTCCGCAACAGATTGAGAGAGAAAAGAGGAAACGATACAAATATGCAAGCCACGCAAAGACAAGTAAAACAGCGCGGCTGTCGGCGGCCCTACTGCTTACGGTCAATCCGTCGCGATTCCCCTCACTCGCTCCTGCGTGGCCCCCATTCCCCATCCTTTGTCGAGCTAAGTCTCCGGCAAAATGCAAAGCGCCCTGCGCAGGACACTAAAAGCTGCCCTTGTGGTCCATTGCAGAGACCATGCAAAAGGGACGTACCAGCGAGCACAGCGTTTTGACCATCACCTGCCCGAAATATACGGCCCACGATGCGACAGTGCGACGATGCTCCATCCTGACTACGAATATGAACAGCTGTCCCGACGCCCCCCGTGCACGTATGCTGCAAACCTTGCCTGCTGTGTCAGGTCACGATTGGAGAGGGAGAGATGATATGCCACCAATAAACTGCACGGCAAAGTCCACGATAGTTTAGACGAGGGCCCCCTATTTTTGGCCTTCGCCCCTGTCCTGAGAGGCAAGAACTGTCCGACACACTGCGCTTGTAGATATTTTTTTTTCCGTCAGTGTGATCTAGGCGAGAACCCCGCACTCGTTCTTTTCCTCCTAGGAGCGGAGACGAGTCCTGCCATCCCGTGTTGATGTGGGCGGCTGGCAGTTTGGCTTATATTTAAATACGGAGGGACCGGCGCCTTGCTCTCGTCGTCTCGTCCGTCGTAGTTTCCTCCCCAAGAAGCATATTTACGGCCAGTTCTGCGTCATTCGCAAAGGGAAGCCCGCGCCCAATTTGCATTCCGTCCGTCTCTGCACCACAAACCACATTCTACGAAACACCACCACCCTCGCTCGCACAATGCCGTTCGCCCCCTCCGTCGCGCCGACCAAGGCCAACATCGGCGTCTACACCAACACGAACCATGACCTGTGGGTTGCACCGGCCGAGCCCTCGCTCGAGACTGTGCAGGCTGCCGAGGGCCTGAAGCCCGGCGAGGTGACTGTGGCCATCCGGAGCACGGGCATCTGCGGGTGAGTTTTGTCTGTGTGCTGCTGCTTGTGCAGCTACTTGTGTATGTGCTCACTCTCTCTCCTTTTCCGACAGGTCGGATGTCCACTTCTGGAAGCACGGCTGCATCGGCCCCATGATCGTCACGGGCGACCATGTTCTCGGCCACGAGTCCGCCGGCGAGGTCATTGCCGTGCACCCCGACGACGCCGCTGTCGCCGACGACCCGTCCAAGGGCCACAACCTCAAGGTCGGCGACCGCGTCGCCATTGAGCCCAACATCATCTGCGGCGCCTGCACGCCCTGCCTGACGGGCCGCTACAACGGCTGCGAGCGCGTCGACTTCTTGTCCACCCCGCCCGTCAACGGCCTGCTGCGCCGCTACGTCAACCACCCGGCCGTGTGGTGCCACAAGATTGGCGACACCATGACCTGGGAGGAGGGCTCGCTGCTCGAGCCCCTCAGCGTCGCCCTCGCCGGCCTGCACCGTGCCAAGATCGAGCTGGGCGACCCCGTTCTCGTCTGCGGCGCCGGGCCCATCGGCCTCGTCACGGCGGTCTGTGCGCGTGCGGCGGGGGCGTGCCCGCTCGTCATCACGGACGTCGACGCCGGCCGCCTGGAGTTTGCGGCGAAGCTGGTGCCGGGCATCAAGACGGTCAATGTCGGCGGCGGCCCGCGCCCGGCGCCCACGGACCCCATCGACGGCCCGGCCGAGGCCACGGCCAAGAAAATCGTGGCCGAGGGCTTCGGCGGCGTCGAGCCGCTGCTGGCCATTGACTGCACCGGCGTCGAGAGCAGCATCGCGTCGGCCGTGTGGGCCGTGCAGTTTGGCGGCCGCGTGTTTGTGATTGGCGTGGGCCGCAACGAGATCCGGATGCCGTTTATGCGCGCGAGCGTGCGCGAGGTCGACCTGCAGTTCCAGTACCGCTACAGCAACACGTGGCCGCGCGCCATCCGGCTGGTGCAGAGCGGGCTAGTGGACCTGAAGCCCCTGGTGACGCACCGTTTCAAGCTGGAGGACGCTGTGGAGGCCTTCCGCACGTCGTCGGACCCGACGACGGGCGCAATCAAGGTGCAGATCCAGAGCCTGGATTAGAGGCCGTGCGAGAGGGAGAGCGACGATGAGCTTGACAAACGAATTTAGGACAGGAGCGTTGTTTGCATTTTTTGCCGTTTATTTTTTGCACGTTATAGAATAGAATGCCATGCACACTGTATCAAACGCACCGTCGCATGCAACTGCTCCTTTCGTGCCCATACTGCAGTCCAATCGTACCACAGTCGTGTTTGTCCGATGTGGTTTAGAAGGTCAGCAAACTATGCAGCCTGCCATTACTTTCGTATGGCGTTAGTCCAGCATGTGGCACGCTGCAAAGAAATGCGCAGGCGCGACTGGCACCCCTGCTTGCCACGATCGTCCCAGGTGCAAGCTCCATCAATTGGCGCAATGCCATTGGCTGGGACCACCGGAGAATGCCAAACGTTCCTGCCTTTTGGACCTTGCGACATCTCCCGAGCTTTCCTCTTTTGCGACTAACTGGAATTTTCGCCCTGTAAGTTTTTTTACTATTTTTTTTTGGGCCCGTTCCGTGTCGCCTGCTCGATTACCGTGGCTTTTCGTTCACGTTCCCGTACTTCCTTTCACGTTCCTTTTTCTTCTCTCCTGACATTTCCATCCCATCGAATCTGACGAAATCGACGATTGCGACGATAGAAGCACGAATTTCCACGGACACGGCATCACTCTCTTTGTCGACCCATCTCCCCTTTGCTCTTTCCCGTGCTATCATAGCTCCTGCCTTGTTTGCTCCAATCTACCGAGGTGCTCCTTCCTGCAACACTTTTTTGCGCGTTTTTCTATCGCGATTTTTTAATCACATTTAATATTTTATTTCACTTCCTTCATCTATCCACCTCATCACCATCGCGTTCGCGCACCGTCCCATCGACAGCTCGATACCGATACCGATACCCTTTTCTCCTTTTCACACACACACAATGTCTGCCATCCGCACGTCCACATTAGCCGCCGCCCCGGCGCGCCTGGCCCTGCGCCGCTCGGCACCGCGCCGCTTCCAGTCGACCTCTTCTTCGTCCTCGTCGGCCTCCACATCCTCCACAACCGCGACCGATGCCGCCTCCAAGGCACGGCAGACGGCTGCGGACGTCACGTCCAAGGCCACGCAGGGCTTGACGCGCGTCACCTCGGCGGCCGGTCCCGCCCTGGCCGGCGCTGCCCGCGGCCTGAGCTCTGCGCTCGGCCGCGTCGGCGGCCGCACGGGTCGCTTCATCAACTTTGTCGAGCGTGCGTTACACCCCACCATTGTCTCATTGTCTCCATGGGTTCCCGTTGAAACAGCCAAGAAAATCTAACAAGTTGACCAGGCCAAACCCCCTTCGTCGTCTACTACTCCCGCGTCGGCCTCGAACTCGGCCGTCTCGTCTTCCGCAACCAGAAGATGTCGCCTCCGTACGTGACTGGATGATGAACAAAAAAAAAGAGCAGGGACAGACAAATTGCTAACGCTTCTTCTTTAGCCCCTTGGCCACCTTCCAGACTGCGTTCCAGAACGCGTGGGTGCAGCTCCAGAACCCGGCCCAGCTGCTCCAGAAGACGACTGCTTTCGCCAAGTCCGCCCGCAACCTCACCCCGACGCAGCTGGCCGCCGGTGGCGTTCTGGCCGCCGAGATCCTGGGCTTTTTCACCGTGGGCGAGATTGTCGGCCGCTTCAAACTCGTCGGCTACCACACCACCGCCGCCCCGGCTGCTGCCCACTAAGCCCGTTGCTGATTGCAGTGGGCAGTTGCGAGAGTGTATTGTCTGATGCGTCAGGGCGAAGAGGAGAAAGGAGAGGGGCAAGAACGTTTTTGAGGTGAAGCCTGGGCGAGACTGGCGGAAGAGAGACACGCCAACTGTCTTTTCCCGTTTCTTCCTGCCTTTTCTCTCTCGTGGCATGGCATATTTTATCCCCTTTAATTTTCTACCATTGTTTTATCTTTCTCACACTTTCCTCCCTTTTGTTTTTATCTTTGCTTATCGACTGTTCCCACTACCTTTTTTTTTGGTTTTCATCTTTTATCATTTATCTTGTGTTTTTGTTCTTTTTCCCCATGTAAAACTTCCAAAAACGTGTACATCAGCTATTGCATCAATACGAAATCGGCAGGTTTGAGATGGGAACAGGTAGGTTAGAAACAGGCGGGCAAAGACAGGGCCCTTGGCGGATGACTGAAAGGCAGAAAGTTTGTCAAAGATGGTTAGTTCATGTCGAATCTCCATCGATACGAACGCACACTTTGTCACGTTGCTGTCTTTGTTAAGGTTGATTTGCACTTTATACTACTGCAGATTACAATAGAAAAAAAATACACAATATATTTTTCATTTATCATTTATCATGACCGTAGAGCATCCCAAAGAAACTTTGTCCTTGTGTTCATTTCAGTACAATATTGGGTATTATATAAAGAAGATATCTGTTCCTGCCAGTTTGACAACGGCCTGTCGTTCCTGCCGTCTGCACACTCTGCGATCCTTCTGCGTCTTGCGTGCAGAATGCCATCACTCCTTCCCTGCCGGACTACCGCTCCTGCCGCACTGAACACTTTGCTGTCCAGATGTACCTGCGGGTGTCGATTAGCTTCATTCTTTTCCCGCTTGACTTTGCTGTGCGCCTTTCTTTCTTCTCACTTACATTGTACAACTTGCGGTGCATGACGGATCAGCCACCTCGCGCCGCACGTCGGCCATCAGGCGGTAGATGGTGTCTAAATCATAGCCAGCGCGCAGAAGCGGCATCAGCGTCAGGCCCTCGAGCCAGAGGTCAAAGGCGCGCGGGAACCACTTTTCGACACCGCCGCCGTGACGGCCACTTGGACTGCTGCTGTCGTGGCTGCCGTCGTTGTCGTTGCCGTCTTCCGCTCCCTCGTCGTCGTCGTCGCTCAAAGGAAACACCGACAGAGAATGTGAGGAGGGAGACGACAACGAGGACAACGACGGCAGCGACGTCCGTGTCCTTGTCGGGGATGCCGAAGTCGGGGATGCCCGCGATGCTGACGCTCCAGCAGACTCTCTCCGGTCAAACGGCAACTGGTACGTGTCCTGGCGCACATCGACAAAGCCGGCTTCGTGCAGCGCCAAGCGCGTCTCGGCGGGGTCCACGCGCAGCGGCCGACCGGTGCGGTCCATGCAGTTGAGCAGGATGCTAGCCCAGGCAGCCAGGCACGGGGACGATGGAGTGTTTCCGCTTCCGCTGCTACCACCACCACCACCGATACTACTGCTACCCACTCCTCCAGGCAATGCGGGCTGGGGAGTCCAGTCGATCTCAACGTGCTCGATATAGCCGACGCCCGGGATGAGGTGGCTGTGGACGGTGGCGTACAGGCTGGGCCAATTGCGGACAACGCCATTGAGGCATCGGATGTGAATGAGGTCCCACGAGGCGGTGCCGAGCAGCCAATGTGACTCGATGTCAAGGCTCTGGAACTTGGCATTCGATGGTATTCTGATGGCAAAACATCCACGTTCAAAGCAAGGTTAGTTGATGAAAACGCCAATCAGCTGGATTCAGGCAGAGGGGGGAGCAAGGGCGGAGGAAACATACAAATGCGGCTGGAACGGAGCCAAGTCGACGCCCCAGACTTCAGACCGGCCGGCATACAGGTCGGCCATCTCGACCACCCAGAGCCCCGTGCCCGTGCCGAGGTCGAGGATGCGCAGGTGCTCGTTGGGCCGAAGCGGTGCACTATGGATGCGAGCACGGCCGCCGCCGCGGGCAAGAGTGGCCGCTTTGTGGAAGAGATCCATGCTGTGTGCCTCGACGGAGTCCCAGGGGAACAGGTACTGTGGACTGTTGGCTAGGAAATGCCGGCCGTGTTCTTGCGTGGTCAGACTAGCGGCGGAGGGCGAGGATCGTCGCCCGGCGGGCGGCGAGCGTTGGGACGAGCCGCTGCCATGTCTGCTGCTGCTGCCGTGGCTGTCTTCGTGGGCAAAGGGTATGAACGACCCAAGGCTGTTGATGCGAGTGTGTGGGTTCCGGGGAGGGAGAGACATGGGGGAAATGTGGGCTGTGGACAGATAGACAAGAAGAGTTGAGGCTATTATGTGGAGGGAGAGCCAGCAAAATAGACCCAAAGGCGAGGGGTAGAGACAGGAGGTATATGAGTGATGAAGGAATAGAGGGGAACGAGAGAGGAGACGAGAAGACGAAGAGGAGCCGACAAAAGGAGGTAGGGATAAGGGTCAATGGCAGGGGTGGAGGATCGGAGTGAACGTTGAAGGAAATGTGGGATCGGGCTCGATTTATCGTTCTTGATGCAAGTCATATCCGTTTCTCATTCGTATTTATTTTATTTTGTCGTGGAGTTGCATTTCGAGTATATCTCTTTCAGCTTGAGGCACGGGCCGCAACGGATACGAAGATGGCAACGAGAAATAAAACATAAGTATATAAAAATGACAACAAAAAGCGTCGAAGTAATACTAGATAGAAAAAAAGAGGAGGACAATGAAACTAAGACACAGAGAAAAAAAATCACCAAATGACGAAGCATTCAATAATTGCTGCGTTTTGGGGTGGCCGTTGTTTGCGACAAGGCAAGACAACACAGAACGAACCAACAGGCAGATGTAGGTGCCCAACCCAATCAGGGCCGTAAAAGGAAAAGAAGAAAGAAAATAGAAGGAAAGAAAATCAACAAGAAAATCAACAGGACGGCAAGGCAGCAAGAAAACAATATGACGAGGCTGGGCCAACATCGAAAGACCGGCGGCAAAGGACTCGGAAAGGAGCAACTCGAGGGAGAAAGAAACTGAAGAAAGTAAACAAACAGCGAGAGGAGGGACAACGGGGCCAACAAAAGACGACAGACAAATAAATCAACAAATACAGAAAGCTGGAGAGAAAAAAAAATCAAAACGTTCGGTCGGGTGAGACATGAAATGTGTCAAAACAAAGCGCATCAAAACAAGAAAACACGGCTGTGCCGGTGTAAAGACTCGGACAGAAACACAACACGCTCGCGAAACAACGCTGTATCATAACAAAACGCAGGGCCGGATTTGTCGAGGCCAAAAACACAGCTGGATGCGGGTCCAGGAAAGGCCTCGAGACAGGCCAGGGCTTCCTTTCGGCAATCTAACGGTGTGTTGTGAGTGACAGACGGTGGAGAACGCCTGCAGGAAAAGAAGAAAAGAAAAGAACGAAAAGAAAGCAAAGACAAAGAAAAGAAAAACAAACGCGGCCGTTCCGTGCGACCTAATTGTGCCAAAAGAGGAAGCGAACAAGAAATACGACGAGCGAGGCCGGGTCCTGCATCATAGAAAGATCAAGCATGCGCATCGTGTGGCTGGCCTGGTCGGGCCTGGCCCATGACGGGCGGTTACGACCACATAAGGGGGAAGGCATCCAAAAAAAAAAAAAAAAAAAAAAAAAAAAAGAAAAACAAGGGGAAACAAGGTGTGACCCACGATCTCCGCATCTATGATTCGGCCGCCTGAGTAGGCCTGTGGCGTTTGTATTGTTCCTGCAGCCCAGGGGCCAGGGGACGGAGAAGGGAAAGAAAAGAAAACGCTTGGAGGCCCGGCGCCTCGCTGGCCATTGTTGTTCTTTTGGTTAAGGGATTAAAGGGACGTCACGAAAGAGGACAACCAAATTGGCCGACTATATTTTGTGCAAGTCCGTGGTTGGTCAAGATGCATTTTAATTTTGAAAATGACCGGATGGTCGGCGCGTTCTGTGAAATTGTCTTGGAGACGTGTAAAAAAGAGAAATAATAATAATAATACAGTTACTAGACTCCGACACAGCCATGTGCAGTCTCCTTCTTTTCTTCCACGCCCTCAACTCCGGCGGCAAGGCATCACTACAGAGTCGCATCTTGCTTCCCACCGATCCCTTGCCGTTTCCGCTTCCGAGCGCTTGTCAGCTCCTGTTCAGCTCCTTCTCAGCTCCTTTCGTCTGTCGGCTCATCCTTTTGCATCCTTCATTTCTTTAAAACCGCACACATTGAGAAGAATACGACGTTGTTTGCCGCCACGTCTATTGTCCAAGGATTAGGCGAGGTTGCTATTAATTGGGAAATAATAAATAACGTACAATATTTTTCTTGTATTTCTTTTTTTTTTAAAAAAAAAAAAAAGAAAGAAAGAAAGAAAGAAGAAAGAAAAAAAGAAACAAGTCTACAATTCTTCACTACATCCACGTTGCACACAACGTCCCGCTTACACGCCACGCATGCAAGACACCTCACAAGCGCGTGGTCACCGCCTATTCACATCTCGAATAGGGTCGTGAGATGCAAAACCCATTCCATGCGTCCTGCTCCATCCTTGTTCTCATGTCCCATATCACTTATTCCAACCCGACGATCCTCCTTGGCGCCGGTTCGACGTCCATGTTCCCTTCTGTCCAAGTCCTACCCCGCCAGTCTTTCCAATCAACCCCTGCACATCGCCTCGACCGCCTCTTTTTGTTCTTGTCCTCTCTTCCTGTCTTGGAAACCCGCCCGTTTCCTGCATCCCGACAGGCTGGAATAGCTAGCGCTGGCCCCAGTTTACCGTCCATCCATGGTGACTGCCTGATCTCCGTGTGACCAAACGTCGGCCAGCATGCATGAGATGAGCTTTCTTTTTGTTACTTTTTTTTTAAAAAAAAATCTGCCATCGGTTTTAACTGTCCGTTTTTGATTTGTTTTGTCTTCATCGTCCTTCCTTTACTCCAGACGACGTCGTCACAGCCCCCAATGGCGCAGAATGCACCCGCTTCCGCAAATTAA